TTTTCTATTTTATTTCATTTCTCAACTATTTGCTGTTCGGCTGTTTTTTTCCTCTTGTTAGTGCGTGGGGCCTTTCGAAAAGCTTTAAGAAAACTTGATTTATAGCGAACCCGCAGCCGAACCCGCGACCAAATACAGCTTAGCCCCCCCAAAAAAAAAGTGCTAGTAAATCAATAAAAAAAAAACAATGCAGCTAAAGTGATAAAATAAAACCCGTTATCTTGAATCGTAAAAAAAAAACAGCAAAATAGCAAAGATGTGAATTTGGACAAATTGTAGACTTAAAGCCTCAGCTGCTTCATAAGTACAAAATGGCCGCCAGGATGCCCAACAACAACAACAGCAAGAACATCTTTTAGCAGCAGCCACACACACACACACACACAGACATCCAGACACCCACACAAATGCACAAACACACACAACACGGGCAAAGCCGGAATTCATTTAAAGGTGAGTCGTAAAATTTAAGTACAACAACATTCATGCGATTTTCCAGTGCCAGTGTTGGTCAACAGCTTTAAAACGCACTTAATTATGGCTAAGATTTCTTTTCGCAAACTATGAATACCCTATATTACTGGCATTTAAACAAAAACCGACAGGCTTTGAAAGTTTTATAGTCTTCGAATATTCTTTTAGTAGAGTATTGAGAAATCTCAAGTAAGCAACAGCTGCATTGGGCAAAAATTCATAGGGTATATTTTTATTTTTATTTTTCCACATGTTCCTTAGCAGAAACACAAACTATCTAACGAACTTACTCTATTGCAATTTATTAATTATTTTGTTAATTTGGTGCCTCCAATTATTTTATAACTAGTTTCTAGTTGAATTTTTGTTTTATACAGCTCAGTTTCGTATTTTTTCCTATTGTCATGCTGTGAATCGCATGATGAATGACTTTGGCGTCTTTAATCAATCTCTCACTCGTTGCCAAGGCAGGGCTGAAACTTTAGAAGCTTGGCTGTTCGCATTATTTACCCTGTAGGCATAGAAAAAACAGGGTATATTGGGTTGTGGCAAATGTAGTAGTTCGAAAGTGGAATCTTCAACTACAACATTTTTCACCTTCTCAGATTTGTATACCAAAAACTTTCTTAATGCTCTACAAATTGTGTACCGATCGGATATCAAGCACCGATGTTATTTTAGAATATTTTATTATCATGTTGAGCTAAGGGAAGAAAGGAGCACAGCGCAGTTGCATTGCTGGACACAGAGTATTCTCCAGTCGAACACACGCGACCACAGCATACTTGTTTTTCTTTAGCATCGCAAAACTTTAACAATTGAGCGTTGTGCAGTTTTTGTTATTTTTTTTATCGGTTTACTTTTTTTTGTGTATTTTTTGCGCGAATTTTTACGACTATTCGGCTGGGGTTCAACTGCGAAGTGAGGGCAAATTGTGACCAACAGCGACCGCGGGCCCATTCAAAATCCCGTCAAACCAGTCGCAGCCATTTGGTTTTTTCCTAGTCCAGGCGGACGGGCGGGCAGGCGGCTGGCTATCTCGGGCTATCGGACTGGCCAACTGGCTGACTGACTGGCCGACTGGGCCGTTGATGACTTTTTACATAGCCAAAGAAGCGACGACCCAAACCAAGACCCAGACTCAGACCCTAAACCAAAACCAAACAAGTAAGCTTGCTCTAGTCGAGAGTGCTCGACTAGGAGATGCCCTGTACCCAGCAGTGCGCTGTAAAACGAACTTTCTTCTATACATACAGAATTTTACGTCCTTAACAACTTTTGTGAAATGTTTAAAGTCTTAAGATCACATTCAAATATGTGCGTATACCAAAAATTAAGATCTTTCCTCTTAAAATGCTTCTGTTTTGTGGAGAGGGATGGAAGTTCATGATTTTCCTATTATTCCTTAACTTTCTTAACTAACATACTAAGATTGTCCAGTTTTGATAGTTTCAAAGATAAATTTAATCAAAAGGTTAAACTTTTAAGTATATATTTGTTATTATATATATACTACTTATACAGATACATAACTATTTGTAAAAATATATCTATTAAGTGTATATACTTTGAAGGAAAAGCTCCTCTTTTGTGTGCAACATACACTTGCCTATAACCATCATACCCCGTTTTTATTAGTAATTTTCAATGGGTGCAGGGTATAAAAAAGATACGAGCGCCGCACGTATCTAAACTTGTTTCAAACGTGTTACATTTAAGAACGTTCGCCGCAAGCGGCAAGTGGCAATAATCCTTTCAAACTGACAGAGCTGCCATGTCGCAGCAGTTGAAAAGAGGAGGAATAAGAAGAAGCAGAAGCAACAGCGCAGCAGCAGTAGAAGGGCTGCCAAGTGGGTGTGGCACATTGACTGAGTTTCAGTTTAGTTCGCACAGCATATGTGCAAAATTTTTAACGGAGGCTGTTTCAAAAGTTAATGGAAACAACATGGAAATGAACAGCAAGTACATATGAAAATGAAACAGGAAACAGGAAAGAGGAAAGACACATGAAAATGAAGCAGAGAGAAACTCTGCAGCTTTTTTCAACTCAATAAAAGAATATTTAAAAAAAAAGGATTACATTTACCTATGCTGTTTCTTGGATTGAATTGAAAGATTAGTTTTTGGTGCAAATATTTTCATGTTTCTTTCCACTCGTTCCACTCAACTCACGTTCCCCATCAAATGCATCTAAGTAATTAAGTTTATAAAGTGTGAAAAGCCTGAATAAAAGTTTTTTTTTTTATAAAACTAAGTTAATTTCGAGTTAAACTAATTGGGCTGCCCTCTGCCGTGTGTCTATCCTGTCCATATGTTGTCTGTCACTGTCTGGTTCGAGTTCGCAGACATTTTGATTGCCTGTTGTCTGTTTTTATTTTTTGTTATCATTTATTTTTTATAGCGCCGCCATGTTGTTCCTTCTGCCTCCTCTGTGTGTGTCTATACTAACTATAGTTAAGCCCGCACGATATGGTACAAGATTTTATACTATTTTTTTTTTTGCGTTTTAGCAATTGCAAACAAAAAATGCAAAAAGTGAAATTGATATTTTCGCACAAATTGCCGTTAACAAGGTGGGAACCTAGCAACAACATTTTCGCTTGTCAAATTTTATTTCTGCGCCCCCTACAAATATCCCCTACTCTACGCTCAAAATGGACGTCACAAAAAACGACACAGCCAGGTGAACGGGAAATTGTTTACCGTGGTTCCAAAATGATGTAATTTCGCGTGCTCGTGCAATTCAATTTCCTGCCAGCGGAAACGCGCGTCGCTCTGTGCTCACCCATCGAAAGCCAAAAAACATCAGCACTACCTCCACCCAACCCACCCCTCCCCACCCTACTCACAAAAAAAAAATAAAAAATGAAAACCCTCAAGCACACAACTTGAAAGCACTGTCCAAATTGTTTGGCAGCTCCTCTTCTTTGCGCTCCAACTTTAATTGTACCCGCACAGCGCCAAAAAAGAATCGAGAAAATAAAAAAAAAATAAGATGAAAATAATAATAAATAAATAAGAATTCAATTTTGTAAAATTTGATATCTAAACAGCTTATCCGTTTGCCCCCATTGCCATTCAGTTGGTGGAGCACTCAATCAAATATATCACATATCATTTGTGAGCAGCTAAAGTGAACTAACAGTTGTTTAACTGTAACATGAGGTTTACCAGTTAGATAAAGTTCATGTTAAATGGCAAAGCTTAAAGAAATTGACAATAAAATATTTACTTTACCAGCTTTATTTCTAGTTAATATGAAAGAAGTACAAAAACCAGAATCTCGAGTCGGTTGGACTCTAAGATCTTGTGTGAGTGAGTTTCTTAGAGGTCTTTATTATCTGATTTTTTCACAATAAATTTAATGTAGTATAAAAAGTCAAGGTAGACATATTTTCCAAACTCCTTTGACACTTATGTTTAATATTACCTAAATGGTAATATTATTTTTATGAAAACTCAGAAATTATAGATCTATTTAAATTACTCCGAATTCTGACTTAACTTAATACATACAACATTTCCAGAAGGTTTTCAGCCTTCAAAAGCAACTCACACAAAAATTGTATAGTGTATATGTTGTGCGGTATTTGAATTACTTACATGCAATGTGTGGAGTGTTGAATTTTCAAAATTGTTGGCATATTTCGCATAAATAAATTACATTCAAAGCCGATGCCCGGTCAGGCTCTGCCAGCTCCAAGCTCCCAGCTCAGCTCAGCTCTGGGTGCCCGGGCAGCCTATATTAACAATAATTCCTTTGTGCTGGCATCTTGCCAAAAAGTTTTTGTATTTTGTGCCCGCACAGCAGGCGACGAACGTTTTGTGGCCAATTTCGGCTGCAAACGGGTAGCTGTGGCATGTGCCGGCGCTGTGGCATGGTCGACGTTTTGTGACCCATTGTCAGTTGAAGTTAAATGCGACGCCTGACACAAAAAATGAAAATAAACTATAAAAAATGCTTTCTGGCAAAGGACAACGCACAACTTACGATGGGCAATGGACAATGAACACCACAAAGTCCGGAGTTCCAAACGTGACGTTTGTCAACCATTTAAAATGCTAGAGTATTCGAAATGTCCGGCAAACTGAGACCCCAAAGCCGACTCTGAACAGTTTTTGTCAACTTTATATGCGGAAAATGACTATGGCATTTCACTTTATTAAACAACTATTTTATGGTAACCTCGGGTCAACTGCTTTCTTCTTTAAAGGAAGTTAAAATAAAATATTGGGCATCTGTTCTCGCCTTGCAAATATTATTTTGCCAAACCTGTCACCCCAACTCATCAGTTTCGGCGTTATCTTTTAGCGGCTCATAAAACTTATATACTGAGTGGGCACTAAGAGAGAATTCGATATTTATCGATAATTGTCAATCGATAGTTTGGGGTTTCTAGATTTTGGCATTTATCGATAACCGTTTTAACAGCAGTGATACATCATGTGTTTATTTCAGCTTATCAAACATAAAATAACTTTCATTCTAGAAAATGTTTTGATTTTTATTTTTTATACATATAAACATTTATACACTTGTAAATTTATCAATTGCTTGAATACTCCTAATATGCCAATCAATGTTAAAAATTTAACAATTGCAATTACTTCTACAGCGACTGGTTTTGATTTTTTTCGTTTTTTTATTATTTTGTTTTGTGTATTTGGGAAACGATTTGAGCCTGCAGAGGGCAACTCAAGCCACAAATTTGAACACTTCACGCCCATAATAGAATCTCCGATGGATTAGACAAAATGCTGCCGCTGACTGTTGTAGATATAATAGTAGCCACCATTGAAACGCAGTGTGACCATATCGCTGGTCGTGGCCGGCGTGTTCTCCATCCCTTCCAATGGCACACGGAGCTGCGTTTGCGTCAGATTGATGGTGCGATAGAAGAAGGCGGTCAGAAAACTGGCGCTAATCACAAATGCTATAAAAAAGCCAAGGCAAAATACACAATCCTTGTTCACCTGCAGGCACAGGCAAAAAGCACCAGCAAAATCGCCCAATGTCTGGCCAATTCTGCCCAGCAGAGTGCGCGGCCTCGCAGGCGCCGCAAAAGCCGACGAACTATTTGTGCTAATTGTAATCGTATGATATCTGCGCTCGCACGGTGGCATTATATCCACCTGCTGATTAAGTTGTTGCTGCTGCTGCTGATGTTGTGGTTGCTGTGGTTGCTGCTGGCTGCTTCTAATGTGGCTCTTGGGTCTAAACGTGCTGGTCACATCCAACCGCAAGCTATTAACCGGCAGCGTCTGCGTGGCAAGCTCACAATGTTGCGTGACCTGCAGCTCTGTGTTGCCATCTAGCTGCACCGTGGAACGCTGTCCACTGTTGGCGGACTGTACATGCTCCTCGATGGCCTCCAGATTCCGGGTGTAGCGATCGAGCAGTCGCAATATGCGCTGCAGTCGCGCATCATTGTAGCGCAGCGCATCTGAGGTTGATGGTGAGGGTGTGGCTGCTGTCTGTTCCTGCATTAGGGTCGCCTCATCTGCATCCTTTTCGGGCTCGCTGCGCGGCAACATGATCTCAATCATGTCTTTAACCAGGGCCTTGGCCTCGTCCAGCTGCTGGCGCTGCTGCAATGTGCCCTGCCAGCTGGTGCCGGGCAGCTCAAAGCTAACATGCTTGGGCTCTGCCTCCGCCACCATCTCCATTGCCACTTCCACATGCAGCTGCGGGTTATCCGTTTCGGTTTCGCCCACCAGGCCGTCTGGCAGCTGCAGCATTTTTGGTTGCTCATCGGACGGCGTTTTCTTGTCATCATCCATTGCTAAATTTGGGTTTTGTATTTTCCAGAGCTCAAATGAAATTCATTTTCATATATTGTAGTGTTCGTCGTGTGTTGACATTTCAGATGTATATTTCATGTTTTTAATATGTTTATTTTACTTTAATTCAAACTTTTGTGGAAAATTCGAAATTTTATTGCTTCATGGCCTTCAGAGCGATACAAGCTGCCATAGTCATAGACACCCTAATAGCCGACTTAGTTCAGGAGGTTATCGAACGGTGTCTATCGACGAAGGAACCTAATCCCTTCAAACTCGGTCCATGCCAAAGGCTGTTCGATATATTGGGAATAATTCCATACGGCCAGCAAGATGACGATATTCTTGCCGTTGACGATGTTGAGCTGGACAAGATGATGGCTCTCAAGGAGATCGATGCGCCACCTGCGATTCATCCTCCATGCGGCAACAAGACAAATGAAAAAATACAGAAATGGCACAGTTGGCTAGTTCAGGCCTTGGCTGCGGGTAACATTTCATTTCCCACAGATAAGTAGAGATTAAACAGGCAGCTAGTTTTAGAAAGGCAATCCGTTCTTTGGAAAGAAGAAACTTATTAAAAGTTCCTCCTTAGGATTGTTAAATTTCAATTGATTCTTCGAGATCTACAGAATAGAATGTTTTGGAAATGATAACATCAACTCACTCTGAGCTCTACGCTCCATATAAATGCTGAAAAGTATTTAAGTCCTTAAAAAACCATCAGATCTTAACAATATAAAGAGAGAGATCTTCATATTTAACCTAAAGCCAGATCTTAACGTAATATCCTTTAAACGCTGATCCTTTTATGCACATAGCTTTACAAAGATCTTGTATCTTTTCCATTCTAATAAACAGGTAGATTGTCTTTTTAAAATCTCTGATCTTGTTAATCAAGATGACTTTCCAAATGAAAACGATCGCAGTTTTTGAAAAAGATTTGAGGGGCTTTAACCTTTATTCATAATTTAATAGAATTCCTCTCAATGCTCGCCTCTATTCCGCAGATAGCTCTGAAGATGAATTGGAAATTTATCATAAATCAAGACAGACAATCAAACAGTTTAGTAATAGCGCCTGTCAAACGGAACAACTGCGTATCCGGAAGCGTAATCCGTGCGTTAAAACGCCCGGAGATCGGGCTCTACGGGGCACGGCGCCCTGTGAGCTAGAGCGACAGACGATCTTCATTGATGCGATGTCAGTGCCGACGCCCAGTTTACACAGCCGCCCCCCGTTGGCCGATCGTTTCTGCTATATGTTGACCGATTTTGCCTCGGCCCTGTACTGTAGTCTTGCCATTATGTGTTGTTGTACCCCAAGTATGTTTCGATAAATAGGGTTTATTCATTTTTGACTCAAATTGCGTTTAATTATCGACAAATAATTAACTACACATCAGTCGAGTTGTGGGACCGCTCGCGGCTGCGCACGGATGCGGGCCAGTGTCTGCTTAACATCTAACTGCTGATTGATATTGTTCTCCAGGAAACTGTAGTAGTGTCCGATAATCAGATAGAGGCACCACAGGCACAGCAGCACGAACAACACATAGGTGAAGTTCTCGCCCATCATGGCCAGGCAGGCGAGAAGCGTTTGCCCCGCATCGTGCAGCATCTGCAACAAGCGCTGGCGCATCGGTGGACGGTGCAAAACTGTTGATGAACTAATCGACTCCACCTCAATGTGCAGTGTATGCGCCTGGGATTGGGATTGGGTTTGGCACTGCTGTTGTTGGTGCTGCTGCTGTTGCAGCTGATCCTTCAGTTGAACGGATTTCTTTGGCTTCTCTGCCTTCGGCTTGAGCAGCTTTTCCTTATCAGGCGAAACAGGCCAATAGGTCTGGCAGGCCGCCTCGCACGTGAGCTTCGGGGGAATCGCCAACAGCGTTGAGTCTGACAGCTGCATGCGGTTTAGACTGACGGTGGCCTTCACCACTTCGCTGCTATCCGCTGTGAAACAGTTGGGAAAATTCTTAAATAGTTTCTGGGGGGCTTAGAAGGGGCTATAGAAAAAACTATCTAGGCCTTTCGATAACATCCCAAAGCAGCTGCCCATATTGACTGTCTAGCATGGTGCTCAAGAATAAATATATACTGAATGGAATTGAAGACGCATAACCGTTTGTTTACCCATTTTAAATGGCTACAGGGTATACACCCGCTCGAGCTGAATCTTTGACTTACACTCTGCTGCCTGGAGATACGTCGCTGTAAACTGCTCGGACTGCGTACGCTTGAGCTTTGGTTGTGCCTGTTCGGTCTCTTTCATGATCTTTGAGTAGTCCTCGAAAAGATTGAGCAGCTCGACAAAGCGATCGGTGATCTGTTTGTGACTGACTTGGACTTCGGTCAGAAAGCTGGTCGTCGGTTGCAGCCCTCTTGCCTGCTGATTCAGCTGTGTGGCCATCTCTGTGGTTGCCTGCAGATTCCAGCCAATGCTCTTGGGATCGGCATTCAGCTCGGGCACACACTCATTGATATCCAAATCGAGCAGCACCGCTGGCCCAACGTCGTGATTCTCGTTCGTCTGGATGGGCATTTCGTGAAGATGTGCAAAATTTAGATTTTTGCTTTTGCTTTTGCTAGCCGCTTTTCTTGTTGTTGTTTGTATTTATTGTTGCTGTGTGTGATGTGTATGTGTTTTGGTGTGTATTGTGGTTAATTCCGTTTAGAATTTTTAGGTGTATTTTATATATTTCGTATTTTCGTTTGTCATTTCTAAAAGTTTCTATCGTCTGTCTACTCTGTGTCAAGCACAACCCTTAGTTCAGCTTCGGTTCGTCTAGTGGATAATTTCTGTTGCGCTAAATTAAGCAATTTCCTTCAAGCGTCTGCTGAACTCTTCTACTGCAGCTGACCAAGCTGGACACTACCCAGCCCAACCCTCCGGCCCGCTCAGCTCGCAGCCGGTCATTCAGCATGGTCGGGCTGACCGTTGTCCAAGTTAACCCGCCCTCTAATATGACAATTATAACGGTCTGCTGCACTAATATTGCATTATTTTGCATAAATGCATTTTGCTAAATTCCGCTTTAAGGCCCAAAACAGTTTTGGTTTTCAAATTTTACGTGAATTATTTAAATGGTGGCTGGAAAATTTCCATCTCTGTGCATTTATGAATATATACTTGAGTACGTGTATTGATTTAAATATACGTACAAGTTAATTCGCATATATAGTTATTAAATGCAATTAAATTATTAAAATTTAATTAAGGTTGTGGGGAAAACCCATATAAGAGCAGCTCCAGAGCAGGGCTCATGATGAGCTCGTTCGTACAATGTCCAGACCAAACGATTAAAAATTAAAATTTTTTCCTTATGAATTAAGTTTCAGGTAGCACTAGTATATGTTCCTTTTCAATAAGTGTATAATGTGAAATGTATTCTTACGGGAAACGAAAATCAAACACGGGCAGTTTATAGAATCTAAAATAATTCAAACTTGAGATAATGCTTAAAAATCCAGTTCATTTTCTGCAATTATTTCATCACCTGGCATATTTACGTATAATTTTGCTTACTTTTTGGCTCCGCCAGAATATAACTTATCCAACGCCAAGCTCTCAGGGGCTCAAGGGTATTTAAAATTCGTTTTTGCCCTTAGCCATTGTCCAGCTTATTGGCTACCACCTGCCACCAGCTGTGGCAGCTACTGTGGCAACTGTTGTGTGCGCATCTTTTGGCCATTGATAATATTTAAAGGGCTTAAGTGCTCCGAAGATTTATATTGGCAAAAATCTCCGGTCTGGGCAGCAGCAGCAGCGCAGCAGCAACAATAAAAGAAAAACACAATTTATTGATTTTCTCGCACATAGTACATCATGTTTGTTGTGTGTGCCTGTGTGTGTGCAGCGAGGCTGCTGTTGCCATGAGCCAAGCCAGGACAGGCCAGAGCTGGCCAGGCCAGGACATGGGCCTGACTCAAAACGGCAGCCAACGCCTGCGCCCGTTTCGTCTGCCTGAGCTGATTGCTGTTTGTGTGTGTCTGAAAGGTGCTGAAGCAAAACAACTCAGCCCGAATAGGCCCCAACCACAGCTCGCTTATCCCCTTGCCGAGAGATAAACTTAAATTTTATATTGCACATTTGATGCACACCCTAACGCTGCGAACCAGAAGCTAGACATACGAAATTAAGGGTCGTTTAAATACCTGTGCATTTAATCTCTGAATGTCAGGAGAATATTGTGGTTTATTTCTGGGAATATCAATGGACTTCCTATGAATATATTATTATATTATGCTGTAACTATAAAAATAACATATAATGGGCTTTTCTGGGAAATATTTTAAATGTAACTTTCTAGTCTCTTTTATTTAGAATATTGAGAGAAAAAACGTAGGTTATTTTCCAATTAAAATAGTTATGCTTAGAATTTGTAATATACCTAAACATAGTATATATACTTAGACTATATATAGAATAATTTTCTGTGTCCCTGTTCTTCTTTGTGAGAAATAAATTCTATTAACCGAGTCAACTGCTGACCCGCTGACCGAAAAATGTGGCAAATTCTTTTGGATGTGGATTTGGATTTTAAAAATAATTTTAGCCGCAGTCGCCTCGTTAATTTATGAGGTGTTGCTGATTATTCTCTCGACTGGTCACATAAATATAAACCATGCTTACAGCATACGAAACTTTGCCAAAAATTCCTAACAGCTCCCTCTCACTAGCTTGTGCTCCTATCTCTACTCCTACTCTAGCAGCAGGCCATAAATATTATTTGTTTAGCTATATATGTATACACCATATATATATATAGTATATTTTTGGCTTAATGCTTGTTTGTTTCCTATTATCCGCTTCGACTCGCTCGTTTATCATCGCCTGCTGCAATTTTGTATCTGCCCCTGTGGCTGCCGCAAGAGTTTAGCAACTCGAGCGCGCCCAGCATGCATTCAATTAAGTCTTGCCACAATTTTCTGATTTTTATCCCGGACTATCATCATGATTATTGCTTAAATTTGGCAAGCGCTCTCATCGGAACAAGATTGCGGATAGACTATAATGACAATAATATTTCTGTCAATGGAAACGGAAAAACGAAGCTTTAAAACCTGATAAAGGTTTTTGTTTAAATAAAATATGTTACAGATAATATTTGTTTGAATATATTCTGAAAATCTTAGCGATGCGGTCAGATTTTTAATATAAAATCTTGCTACTATAATTTCTTTAATTCGTGTACATTAATTTAAATAAATATAACAAATACGTAATACATATATGGTAGCAATTCGATATCTGATTGTATTAGTGCTGGGTGGTTTCCTGGTAAAGTCAGTTTGTTTTTTGTGTTGTGGCATCGATTCGATAATATTTGAACATCTACTACCTGTCTATTTAGATAAGCTGCTCCTATTGACTTTGCCACACCCATGCCACAAGTTAACTAATTTCTTATGCTCCGCTTTACTACACACACACACACACACACACACACACTTTATATATATACTTTATATATACTTATATTTAGCTGTGTGATTGTGTGTGAATGTCACAACCGCCTACACCTGCCAGAGTCGTCAAAACATTGTCAGAGCGTTTGCCACTTGTCTATAGACAATTGTAAAAGGTAAGTGAAATATCTGCTAACCACCTCTCTCGCTCTTTCTGCCTTCCCCTGGATATGCTACTGGCAATCAGTAGCTGGTTACCTGTGCTACCTGCAGCTGCCTAGCTGGCCACTTGGGCGCCACTTGCTCCTGTTCCTGCTGTTAGTTGACATTTAATGGCATTTGACACTCTGCACGGCGTGTCCGCCAGACAAAGCAAAAACATCAGGTGCAAATATTGAAAGAAAGAAAAAATAATGAAAAATAACAGCAAAGGTATATAAGAAAACTAAGTAAAATACTAAGAGTACTCGGCTAGCAGATAACCTGTGCCCTGGTGTGTAATAAACATCAATGAAGGGAGGTTGGACATACATTTACCGACTAAACGAGAACGTGAAGAGCTCTATTCACAAACTGAACTTCATTTGCCTGTGATATACGAGACAAAACAAATTTGGTTTCTCTTTCAGGGATGGGCGTGTGTTTGACTACAATTCAGAAAGAATCACGCAATACGTTCGCATAGGCTTTCTATATACATTTTCTATTGTATGTTTTACCAGATTTATAAAATCTTAATTTTGAGCTTCTGTAAAAGACTTTACATTTTAATCCGAACACGTCGTGCTCAATCGTGTGTTCGTGCCACGAAAGGAAGCTGTAATCTTTAATATTTAAATGTAAATCATATTATAAAATTTGTAGTATTATTAGAGTCTGGAATTCGAATTCAGATCTTCACATCAAAAAACTCAGCAGATTTCTTCTCTCTTACACAAATACGCATCACTTTATCATGACCCTTAATTACACTTTCACGTGTATAGGGTATAAAGCAAATAGTAAGAAAAAAAAGTGAAGGATATACGCCTAATGGAAAAATGTCTAAAAGCAAAAAAAAAAAATCAATAGAAGCAAACTGAAGTCGTGGCCAACAAGCTGCAGCACTTGCCTAATGAAGTTGTTGCTGGAGCAGAAGCCTGGCCTGGAGCACGAGCAGGAGCAGGACCAGGCGCATCCCTGGCTCAGGCAATAGAACAGAAGGAACATTCTTGCATTTAATGCTTCTGTTTGCTCAACTTTATTTGATGTCCTTGTATGGATGTTGTTGCTGTTTACCCGGAGCTCCACCAGGCGTCGCACATGTTGTCCATGCAGCACGCACAGACGCTGGCAAAGAGGTTGAGGGAGGACTGGCTAGAGGTGGTTTAATGCATTTAGCGGTGCTTGAGTGTGCTCGTTATATATATATATATACATATATATAAATACATATACATGTTATATGTACACATATGTGCTTCGATATGCCTGCTCCCAGAGTCCTTTCTGCGGTCAAATTAATGCCGCATATTCGTATATTTCTGCCCCGCTTGGCGCAACTGAGGGAGGAGGCAGGTAGTTTGGGCTTGGAGGCTCGAAATGTCTGCATGTATTTTTAATTAATTGCATGCCCGAGTCAAGTCGACGCGCTTCGAGTTCGCCAGGCAGGGGAGAAGAGGCAAGGATTACTTCATATTTCACGTGGTATATGTATAAATTGCGTGTGTGCCATACCGTATATATAATTGCTATGGCTTAAATTTCTCCATTTGCACACTCTAATTAAGTTAAATCTGATTGAATTATGTTTGTTATTTAATTCGAAATGAATTTCGATTAAAGAATTTGGAGCGCACATTGGGAAATTTTTCCAATTCAATTTGGCTCAACAATTTCATAAGGGTTCAGAAGGAGACGAAATAAAAATTGAAATATATATATATATATATAGAGAGAGAGAGAGAGAGAGAGAATTAAATAGAGATAAGAGTGTCGAATATATACATAGAAGCTCTATATGATAAAGCTTATCGTGTATTTTATGAAGATGAGAATCATCAAAATACAAAAAGCTATGCCAAAAATAAAGACATACGAGGCTTGCTTTTAAAAAGTTAAAATTAATTTCATGATGTGAACTTTTTATACCCTTGCAGTGGGTATTCAACTTTTTGTCATGAAATGTACTAAACAAAATGGAACTGTGATAATATAACCATATCAGTTTGTTATCAGAATTTACGAGCTTATTATCATTGGCTTACCATATTGTATAGTTGCTGCTTTTTTTGTGATATTAAATTAAAGTATTTCAGTTACATATGAGTGCAGCGTATGTGATAGTCATGCATATTGTCAGCGTGTTAGCAAAAATAAATTGTTGTTGCTTTGTTGCTGCCCGCGGCTTGACCGCAAGGCCAAAGCCGCCGACTTCACCGCATTCGCTACATCATTTGTGGTCAATTGTAATTAAAGCTCAGTGGTTTGCTTTAGTGCACACATGCACCCACTTGCAGCCCCCACACCACACGCAGCAGTCGCTGTTGGATGTGTCATGTGTTAAACAAACATTTTAAAACAATTCGACACGCTCTGTATACAACAAAAAAGCACTCTCTCTCGCTCTTGCTGTCTCTTTCTCCATCTCGCTCTAACGTTCTAGCCAAATTAATAGTTGCAACAAGTTGGGCACTTTAAAAGAGGTTTATAATGCCCGAGACGACAGACAAGCAGCTGCACAGAAGACACAGTCCCCGCTCTAATCCCATTCCCATCCTCAACATCAGCCCCAGGTCCAGGCTCAGATATGGCAGCTATAATGCATTACCCCGTCAGCAGGCAACGGATTTTACGGCCACGCAGCAGTTGAAACTGCGGGCGGGCGATATGCGCATGGCCCGCATGCAGATCAGTCTAACCAAGCTGCGCCTGGAAATGGAACAGTCCGGCAAGCTGGTCGAGCAGCTCTGCCAGGAGGCTGAACTGGAGATGAGATTGAACAAGAGGCAATGATAACTTCATAGCCATGCCAGCAATCTCAAGGCCTGCTTCAGAAATTGTCGTGTCTTTTTGGGATGTTATAGATATGCGAAATTAACGTACTAAAAATACAAATAAATTGATTTAAAATATATTAAGCTCTCTTTTTAAAACTATTGAGTTGATTGAGAAAAAAAAGCGAAGAAAACGTCTAAAAAAATATATAAGCCAGAATTCCAATGAGCTCCCATTTTTATCATACTGACTATAGATTAGTTCTCAATACATTAAAATATCATCGATTTGTTAGATTTTCTGAAAATAATCAAATTAAATTCTTTATATACATATACATATATTCTAAAATATACCTATACAAAATGTATATAAAATGTGTTTTAGAAACATTTATACATTTAAAGCTGCATATACTTATGCAAAAGTCTTTGTTCCATCTTTTCAGCTTTTCGAACAGCTTGAGATTCTAAGGAAGTCGGCGCCATGTTCAGTGTCAACCAGTTAAAATAGACCGACCCCCAAGTCAGACGCAAGTAACAATCGGCAGGGACAGCGGAGAGAGGTGAGTGTTGCACTCATATGTTAATAACTTGCCACGCTTTGCATGGAGTGGGCGGATGGCTTGATTTAAATTAAAAATTTATTGCATACTTTTTTGCGCGCTGCCATGGCATATAAAATAAATACAAACACACACACACACACATACACAATACACACAAACACATCCGCACAACATATAAATTAAATTGTTGTGCGCCCAGGGGCGAGCAAGCAAAAAACATGGCATGCCATGAACTCCAATTTAAAAACCTGACGCACGGGTTAAGGACTCACAGTCTGAAACTCGTGGGGCTAACTGGCGGCGGGGCAGCGCTGAGGGTACGCGGGACAGTGGGGGTCGGGGCGTTGGCACTTCAGCAAACCGTTTTTGATTACGCGTGTGTTTTTCGCGTGCAACTAAATTAGCGCACCTGTAATCAAGTTTTTCAGCTTTCCATAACAGAATTTAAAAAAAAAAATACGAAGAAAAAGTGTTAACAACGATGCTTGCATGCCCTTTCTAGCGAGAGAGAAAAAGAACGAGCCGAAGTAAACAATTCGCAAATGTCAACAGCGAGAACGAACAATATTGCAGACATGCGATAATAACATGAATCACACGGGATAGAATAGAGTTTTTATAGAAAACTAACCATCAACTCTGGCTGAAAGAAAAATAAGCATTATACAACACTGTTTTTAATAAAATACATGTCAAGTTGAATTCATATTGCAAGTACGCCATAATTAATAAACATTAATTTGGTTGATAAAACTATGCGATAGCGGAAAAAGTTTTTTTTAAGACTTATGAGTTTGATTATCAATAATTACAAATTATTATAATTATTAAATGTACTCAGCAACTGAATGACAAAGCCGTTGTCAAAGCGTTTTACGGCTCAGTCATCTTTGTAATGGTATTTTTTCTTTTATAATTATATCTAAAAATGATCGCTTTTAATACTCTTAAACTAAGTTATTATACAAATATAATTATACCCTGAACCCATTAAAAATGGGTATAAGGGTATATTGTATTTGTGCGAAAGCCAAATGTATGTAACAGGCAGAAGCAAGCATCACCGATCCCATAAAGTATGTATATTCTTGATCAGCATCAATAGCCGAGTCGATCTAGCCATGTCCGTCTGTCTGTCCGTCCGTCCGTCCGTCCGTCCGTATGTATGAACGCAAGGATCTCAGAACCTATAAGAGCTAGAGAAATTTTAGATGTAGATGCTCCTAGTTCCCGCGCAGATCGAGTTTGTTTTCGATAATCGATAACTTACTCCGTTTCCATGCAATCGATAAAAATCGATATCGATATACTGTTTTTTGGGCAATTTTGGTAAATAATAAGAGCCAGAGTCAACAAACTTGACATATAGCTTCTAAAATATAATATATATATATGCATTTGATGTTGGAAGAAGAGGGTTCAGGGTATCCCCTAGTCGGGAGCTCCCGGCTCGAACCTCTTACTTGTTTTCTATTTATTCTGTTAAGACTGCGAGCGTTGCCAGATAGCGGACAAAGCTCATATTTAGAATATTTAAATGAATGAATGAAAATGAAATATTAAAGTACGAAATAATTTCTACTCGGAAGATCTGGAGGCAGCCTTCCTTTTAACACTTACAATTTTTATAGGGTTGCAAATAAGTCAGTCTGCATTGCACAACAATTTGTGGATTTGATGTGGAATTGAAATTTATTTATTTTAAATGTATTTATTTTTTAGTTACATTGTTTTCTCATAGCAATTGCACATGTTATAGACGGAAATAAAGTGATAGATTTTTATATTGAGTGAAATTCCTATATTCCTCACTTTCGTACAACAGACCCAAATATTGTAATTGTTGCATATTGGCGGTTATTAAAGAAAAATGTTCCATCCGCTTTGAAAGTAAATTTGGGCATATAAGCTGGTATAAACTTCTCGTCGATTGTAAACCCATTCACATAGTATACACTATCCTGCAAGCAAACAAGATACTAGCAAAAAAGAAAACATTTATAGAATAAGCATTTGAGAACCTTCTTGAATGAACAATCCAGGGGAAAATTGGAGACGCGACGCAGTCCAACAGCCACCATTTGGGTCAAGTATTGTTTATGAACCATGTGCAGTGCCTCACAGTAGTTCATCTCTTGTGCCGTGTAATTAATAAATTTGTTAACATGTTTAATTGCCAAACTGTAGAACCCGTTCACATTAGTCACATCTTGGAGTAGTTTGAACTTCGCGTAGATGCCAGAAAGGTTTTTAGACGTTTGCTTTATTTGACAATTAAATGTTTCCATTATTTTCGGATCCTGAATCTCACACAATACTTTGGAGAATTCACCTATCATCTTAGGCTGTCAAAATTATACATTTTCAATGTATTGTAATTATTAAAAAGTATAAGAAAAGGTATATTTCTGGAATTATGTATGTATATTTTTGCAAAAATATACTAGGTTCAAGCCGTATACCTTTGCAGCCAATATTATCAAAACAAAACCGAATAGCAAAGCCGCTTTCAAAATGTTGACGTTCATGTTAAACGCTTGCGCTCAACTGTAAATGCTTTAACTGTCATTTACTGACTAACTTCAATAATGAAACGGTTTTGGTGCAAACATTAATCGATTTTTAATACAAATATTAAAACATTAACTTTCGGGTTTTTATCTAAGGTAATTTAGAAATGTATACGAAGAAAATATATATTGCTTTGCTACAATTATTTTAAGCTTCTGTTAATAGTATTGCCATATTTTAATATGGCAGCGTTGCCATATTGCAGATACATCAATCATCGTTATATTTACGAAAATTTGCGAAGCTCATGTGGAACAACATCAAACATTTATTTATTTCTAATTAATATTCTTGGGTACTTGCACATTGCGATTACGTATTTTATAAAAGGAAATAAAGGGGTCAATTTTTAGATCGATATTTTTATTGTATTACGGTTAAAGTATGCAGGTTTGCCTTGTTTTTCGACTTTTTATGTCTTGAACCCTGTATCTTAAGGTTAATTTAATATAAGTATATATTTGATTATAAGTTTAAAGTCGATCGAATTAAGAACCACAATTTGGAATAAATGTTTTCCGCTTACTTCAGTCTCGTGCTGATAATTTTATATCCAGAAATTTTACTTTAGATCATAAGATCTTTGACCCGCATTTTCCATCTGAAAAGTGTGGATATTGCGAAAAGTGTAAAAACCTTGGATATGGCCGAAATCTCACGCTTTAAGGAGGGTTAGTGTGAAATAAATTTCTAACGAACATAAACAAATATGTTTGAAATTGAGTTTCAGACCGATTGGATAGTTAACAAGATAGTTTCATATAACAAGATAGTTTGCAATGATGATGATAGATGCAATGATTCTGCGGGTGGAATTTCCGAAAATCCCAATTTAGTGTGGACCTTTTTTTTATACGGTACAGTAAAACTTTCAGATTCCTAGCTCTTAAGGTTTGAACTGTGCGTTAATCGGCAGTCAGTGGGAAAAAACAATGTTATATATACAAATATTAAGTGAAAGTTTAATATGTTATAGTTCTTACTTTCGTTCTATTTGACCCAATGTTGTTAAGCTTCCCAATTTGTGCTTATCAGAGACAAAAGTCATAGTCATTTTGAAGTGTATTCGGGGCATATATACTGGTATAACCTTCGGGTCGATTGTAAAACCATTTACATAATATAATAATTCCTGAAAGTAAACATGATGTTAGCATGAAAAAAAAAAACAATTATAGGAAAAACATGTAAAAACCTTCTTGAATGGGCAGTCCAGGGGAAAATTAGAAACGCGACGAAGTCCAACAGCCACCATTTGGGTCAAGTATTGTTTATGAACCATGTGCAGTGCCTCACAGTAGTTCATCTCTTGTGCCGTGTAGTTAATAAATTTGTTACCATGTTCAATTGCCAAAATATATAACCCGTTCACATTAGTCACGTCTTCGGCTAGTTTGAACTCCACATAAAGACCAGAAACGTTACTTGTCGTGAGATTAACATAGCAATTAAATATCGCTATCGTTTTCGGTTCCTGATTCTCACACAACACTTTGTGAAATAAAGGTACAATCTTCGTCTGTGAAAAGAATGTACATTTTAATTATAAGTTATGTACATGAAAATACTTTATATTTCTTAATATATACCCCAGAAATAAAAACATAAAATAACGCACCTTCGCAGACACTGTGAACACCACAGAACAGAATAGCAAGGCAGTTGGTAAAATGTTAGCGTTCATTTTAATCGTTTGCAATGAACTGTTTAATGTTTCATTTATTACTTATTGGCTGACCTCTGTGTTAAAATGCTTTAAGGGTGAATAATAATCTATTTTTAATGGATTACTTAGCAAAAAAATGTGCATATATTTTCCAAAAGTAATTTAAAACTTTATACGAGGTAAATATAAATTGTGCTATTGCCGGATCGCATACATTTTTGACATTTGTCACATTGCAAGATAAGCAAATTTTCTTAACGACATCACAAAATAAATCTATTCAGTTTAGCACTTTTGTTTATTTTAAGATTGAAAGATTTCACAACTCGTCTTGTTTCTGAACTTGGTTTTGTGATCAATTGCACCTTAAACCTATTGAAATATAATTTAAATATTATTTTTAAATATAGACATAATCATCATTAATAGGTTCAGTCAGGAATGCAATCTAGATTGCGCAACGTTTATACTTAGTTAAATGCTTAAATCGATTGGAACTAATAGCAACAAATCAAATATGTACATACAAAAAATGAGAAAGACGAACTTTATTCAAGTTATTTGTATTTTGTTTTACAGTAAAATATTTAAATATGTATATTCCTCATATTATCCTTTAATAGACTACTCTGCCAATGGTCAATATGCGAAATATCCTTTTCTTTTCAATAAAATATTCCGTGATGGTCTGAAAACTGCCTTCGGGCACATAACTGGGAAAAGCCTGTTCGTCCAGATACCAATTAGTAAGCGTATAATTTAGTTTCTGCGAAAAAAAAATAATTTGGGTCTTTAAGAGTCGAACAAGATTGGAAGCGAATTCTAGACCAAATTGTGTTCCTCAAAAAAATAACTGAACCAAACCAAATATTGATCAAATTCGTACATAAATATAGTTATATAGCAAATTGTTTCGTTTATATTCTAACTTGGGCTTAAACAACCTGGATGAATGTAGGAAACCGAGCACAAAAGTGAACCAAAAATCAAGCTCGAACCCTTGTCAAATTACCTTGTCGGCAATTTAATTTATTAGATCATGATTACGAATACTCACCGCCTTAAATGGACACTGCAAGTCCCCAGTAGTGTGCTTTTTCAAGCTCTTTAAGAAGGTGCTCATGATCGGGTTTTTATGAACCATTGTTAAGAAGGAGCACGTTTCCGTGTGCAAGTTGAACATGCGCACCTTTTTATTATCGGTTTTCCAGAAGTCCATACACGAGCTGACATCCATTTTACTAATATTACGTTTGAGTATAAAGTTACCACTGATATAGCTGCGATTATTAATTTGGATCATCGAATAGTGCAGCTCCTCAACAAGTTCTGGTGCCCAGTGCTTAACGTTCACTGTATCAAATATGAATCGGAACTCGGATTTCGCTGTGGCAACAACCACACTCACGAAAAGTACCCACAGATACACGAACATGACTTAAGCGCGGCTCAACATGAAATAAACCATGCTCACAGTGAATAAAACAATTTGGCTCAGCTATGGCAATTATTTAATTGTTTTTTCATCGATCAGTATGAGCTAAATATGGACTATTTTGCCTTTTAATTTTATGCTTATTATTTTGTGTTGTTTTGCATACATGTCCATGGGGCTATCAGTTAGTAAGCGTATAGTCGAAGTTCTGTTAATCAAGTTTTTGATGTACCTGAATACCTGATATACCGCTTTAAGTGGACATTTTAGGCTTTCCCTTACTTTGTTTAGAAAGATGCGTATCTTATGAACGGCTGTGAAATACTGACAAAAATCCATGCGTACGTAAAAGACGCATTGTCTAATTGTTGGATTTTAAGATGTCAAATTCGGTTGTAAATTCCGCCTGATCGATATTGCGGCCTAGAATCATATTACAATTGAGAAAACTGCGATTTGACATCTGCGTCAGTTGACAATTGAGATCCTCGAAGAGTTCGGGTGCAAAATTTTAAAATACTGATTGAACACAAATCGAAATTTGCGTTGTTCTTTCTGTGCATCCACAAACATGGCCAGAACCAACCGGCCATAGCGAATGATTAAATCAAAATATTTTCGGAAGTTTTGAACATTTTATATTTTATCTTTAATTAATCGATTGGAAAGTTAGGCTGTGCTTAATCATATTTTAGAGTATTTAATACGATGCGAGTTAAGTGGACGGAAGAATATAAAAAAAAATTAATTTTTTTATGTACATTCAATTCTATGCCATATAAGTGAGCCAGTCTTTCAACAACAAGTTAACAAGGTTTTTAATAATAAAATATAAATAAATAAATATAAAAATATACTCAACTTTTATATTAAAATTCAAATTATGATACAAAATAAGATAATATTACTTAATAAAAATTAATAATAAATAATTTGTATTGTAAAATATTAAGTCCGGGTGTGCACTGTCTTTTACTAAATATTGTCTCTATTTTTTCAATGTAATCAATAAGGTTAGGTTCGATGTAATTATAGGGTATTTTCGAAAGTTATACACCTCGTAGAACAACTATTATATTTATAAATACATATGCATTAATGATTTTAAACACCTTGTTATTTAAAGCATGTTCATATATAAATTTGCTTAGATATATTAAATACAAATCATTTTAAATATGCTGCACTCCACCGCTGAATAACAAGCGAGCAATTAATTTTTGTTGAAATAAAAAATCCCAAACGCCCTGAAATTTCGACACGGGAATATAGCTGGGAAAGTCGTTTTCATCCAAATACAAATTACTGACCGTGTACTTAAATTTCTTTAAGAAAATAACGATATAAATTTGGTTTGTTCAGTCTTTTGCTTAGCTTACCGGCTGAAGCGGACATTTGATGTTAACAGAAGCGTTCCTTTGCAGGGTCTTCAGAAATATTTTGAATAGATAACTGTTATCAGTTTTTTCCAAGAAACTGCACACCTCAAAACGCACATTTAAGAGGGGTTGCTTTTGTCTATTAGACCTTATCAAATTCACAGTGGCTTTTACCTGACACTGGGAAATGCTACGACGCAATAAAAGCTCACCGCTGACAAAGCTGCGATTGTTCAGTTGTACAAGACGGCTTTTTAATATTTCTATGACCTCCGAATCAAAATTTTGTAAAACGAACTTCTCCATATAAAATCTAAAGTCTGGTTTTGTATGCGCGTCCACAATACAAAATAACAATATCAGATAAACCGAACCTGTCATGATGAATGCCGAACTTCGAATGTTAATTAGCTCTGATCATCTGTAAACTATCATTATCAAACTGTCATTATTAAATACTATATTTATACCAAATGACCGGTCCTAAACATTTATATCGCTAAGTTGTCTAAGTGACACAGTCATTTGGTCAGCTGCACAAGAAGGTAACGCAAGCGTCATCCATGCCAGGATGTAAAGAATGTGTGTGCACATCGTAAAATGAATACCTTGTAATTAATTAATAATAACAACTTTAAGCAGAAAGCAATAATTGATATTTTTGAAAAATATATTGCACAACTCTCGCTTTTTTTTCTTGCTTACACCAGTTTCACCCTTTTATACACAAATATATATACAATTTTTTAGAAAACTTTGAAAACTTTGAAATTCTCAAGACCTGGCATAATTACTGCTTCTTATACTGAACTCTACCGCTGCTGCCCAATCGTAGAATCAACTTCTTGTTTGTATAGAATTTCATCCAGGTTTTGAATTGACACTCGGGTACATAGTTCGGAAAATCGGTTTCCCTCAGATGATAGTTATTAAGTGTATAGTTGAAGTTCTACAAAAATGTAAAGAAAAAACCACTGCCAATTTTTAGATCATTTTATGGATCACTTACCGCAACTACCGGACATTTTGGGCTCCCATGTATGCTATTAGTCATGCTCTTGGCGACTAAATTAAACAGACGATTCTTGTGCAGAGTGGAAAAAAATTGACACACATCCAAATGTACTTGAAAAAACCGCATTGACCGATTGTTGGGCTTAAGCATGTCCAGGGTTGCCTCCACGTCCAACTGTTCAATATTGCGCCGCACAATCATATTGCAGTTGAAATAGCGTGAATTCGTCACTTTACATTTCAACTCTTCAAAGAGATCCTTGGTCAAAGGCTGGATATCCAATTCGTTGAAAATGAAATGAAAATTGCGCTGTGGCATCATTGCATTGACCATTTGGAGCAATTGCAAAGCTGAACAGACACAAAACCAGAACCAACCCGTCATGGCAGAACCTTAACTCAAAATGTTCGCCTAACACTGATTGGTCTAGTATTACCCACAATCTCATATAATGAGCTGCTTATTATCCCCAAGCTACAAATATATTAATTTGAGATTGTACTGATTATTATACTGGAAAACGCTGTATTATATTTGTATTTTTACCCTAGGCGTAGACTATGAAGCCCAAGGGCTGATAATTTTCTTAAAATTCTTCAAGATATCACCTTGAAAGACAATTCTTTCATATTTCCTATTTCATAAAGATAAGCAAGATAACCATAGACATCGTCAAGTTAGTAATAAAGGTTATATGATTTTTTTTATATATGCACACGTGAAAATATAATATAAAAAATTCCCTCAAATATAACTCAGAGGATCGCGCATTTTAAATAATTTTTAATTTTTATACTCGACCCTGCCGTCCATGACCAGTCGTAAGACCATTTTCTTTTGTGTATAAAATTTTGTTAGAGTCTTGAACTGACATTCGGGCACGTATTGGGGAAAATCGATCTCACCCACATGCATATCGGAGATAGTGTAGTTAAAATGCTGCAAGTAAATAAAAAGATTATAAATTTAAAATTGTCAAAAGTTAATTAAAATAAAATTATTATAGTGCACGCTAAAACGGGGTTTCTAGAGATTCCACCCGCAAGTGTGAAAGAGTCTCGGAAAACCTTAAAACTCATTGGGGATTGTGTTTCACACTTTTCACAAAATCAACCGCTCTTTGGTGGAAATATGAATAAAAATAATTAGGCGATCATTTTCAAAGATATTTCACGCTTTTCCGAATATGCACCAGTCTAGGTATAAAATGGGTTTCAATATTTTTTGACGACCGAACTTAAAGTAAAAACTTGACCCAGCAAAGCCGAGTATTATCCGCTAGTACACAAATATATAAAAATAATTGAAATGAATACTTACCGCTATTAATGGACATTTCAATAAACCTTTGCTGCCTCTGTTGACACTCTTGGCGAATAGATTGAAGATACGATTCTTGTGAATGGTCGTCAGAAACTGACAAGCATCCAAGCGCATGTGGTAAAGGCGCATCAACTGTTTGTTGGGCCGCAGCATGTCTAGAGATGTTTCCATTTCCAACTCATCAATATTGCGTTCAAGTATCAGAAATGCACTAATAGAGCTATAATTGCGTAGCTCCCAGTTAATACTTTCGAAAAAACCCGCAACAGTAGGCTTGAAGTAGAAGTCGCTGATAATGAAGCGAAAATTTCGCTGCTGTGTTGCTACGGCCTTCAATGTGACGGTTGACAACGCCAAATAGATCAAAAACCAGAGCCAACCAGACATGGCAAGAGATGATTTTCAAGTGTGCCTCTCGTCATAGATTGGACCATTAATATATCACGCATAATGAGTTTTACTGATCGCATTTGATTATGTTCTAATTGAAAAAAGCTAGAAATTATTGGCATCAATATTCAATCGGTTGCTACTTAAAATTACATTAGCATGTTTCAAATTGTGGCATGTGCCAAACAGAGTTGATATAGTAGTCGGCCTATCTATCTAACAGTAAATTACTAAATGATTAAAATGGGAAAAGGCATCAATAAACTTAGAAATTGCTAAATAACAACTAACATTTTTAAATTACCTGAAATACACCATATATTATATATATATAAATTTATATCCAAGCGTACAGAAAAAGAATCAAACTAAATTGATTGTTTATCCTTAGGATGTTTAAGGTTGCCTTCTTATTTAACAATGTGTTGTTCCCGCTTAGCATTCAACATTTTGCGGGGTGGCAACCCTAAGCAGAGCCAAGCGCGGACCAGACTTTAAATGTTTATTGCGCACTTGTTTGTCCAACATATAATTATAGTGTTATATAATACAAATATATATAGATCGTAAGCTTTTATTTATGTAGTATGCCGATTCTTATAAACAAGTACATTTCGATCTTTTTTTTTTAATTTTTATGCTTTATTCTACCATCTATTTCTAAATGTAAGGCCGACTTATCATGTTCTAGAAATGTAAGATCAGCCTTGAACAGGCATTCGGGCATATAGTTAGGAAATTCGGTCTCTTCCAGACTCCAATTGTTAAGCGTGTAGTTAAAGTGCTGCCAGTGAAATTAGAGAAATACACATACCAAATTAAATGAGATAATGAAAATAATTCGGGTATACCTATACCTACCGATATAACCGGACATTTTAAACTACCGTGTATTGCAGTAGTTAGACTTTTTGCAAACACATTAAACAGAAGATTCTTGTGAAGAGTGTCAAAAAATTGACAACCATCCAAGCGTACATTAAAGAGACGCATTGTCTTATTGTTGGTCTTCAGTATGTCCAGGGTTGCCACTACGTCCACCTGATTAACATTGCGCCGAAGGATCATATTACAGTTGACAAAGCGAGATCGGGATACTTCACAATTAGCTTCTTCGAAAAGATCCTTGACCGCAAGCTTGATAGCAAATTCGTTTATGAAAATGCGAAAATTGGGTTGCTGCGTCTTCCCATGCACCATCACGAGGGTTGGCAACCCTAAACAGAGCCAAAACCAAAGCCAACTAACCATGGTGAAAGCCCAACTCAAATTGTTCGCTGAACAGTTTAAAAAATATCAGATATTTTATAAAATACACGTTGCCTATTGGAATGATGTTCTAATTGGGGCAATTTTAATACATTGATTTTAGCAATAATTAGACACAATTTAAAATTATACAAATCAATGTTCCCCAAATCTGTGGGATTCGAGTTTTAAAATAAAATAAAAACTGATCTAATATTGAAAATTGAAATAGAGCCAGGTTGGCCATTCAAAATTTGTTATATATGCCCCGTAATATGCATATTGACATTCCTACATTTTACGTAGAAGTCGCGGACCTGCCGCACGTATTTGATTTTATAGTCGTTGTTGAAATAGGAGCAAAGGTCCCTTTTGAATTGAAAAGTCGCTCACACGGCAAATATGAGCGTCAAATATCCATCTAAGCGAGCATCTTAAGCTGATTTGTGGACTTACTAAGATTAAAATGCCCAGAGAGATACGGTTGCCTTCCTGCTCGATGCTGGCGCTATTCAAGAGGATCATGTCGCGATCTCAAAAACAAACCGATCCACCAGCATGTTTAGCCAATGCACAACTGAACACGAAAATCATTAGTAGATTTATGTTAGACAAATTTTGCGCTGCCAAAAACTGTTTTTAACACCAATTGTTTTTTTTTATGGGCATAGATCGTTCCAGCTAATTAGGTTTAAGTAGATAACATAATCATTAATGTAACTATGTCATTATATATAGTTTTATGTGATATACCAGCACATACATATTTAACGGCTCTTCTTCTTGCCCTTACTTCAGTGGAATATGGGTGAATATTTCCTTACAATTTGGTGGAATGCAATTCACATGCGTATCGTAAACAAAAGTCTAAGACGCGTTGTTTGCTCCAAAAACCGTGTATATATTTAACTTATTTTCTTTAAGGCTTTACAAATTGTGTTAAAATTTTACGCGAAACTTTGGAGTTGGCACTTTGTTCGCAACGGGAGTTATATGGCCCGAAATAAGAACTTGGGCCAAGTGTTTGGTCTTATTTCGAAATTCCAGTTTCAGAAAATAACTGCACTCTGGCAGTAATTCAGGCAGAATTCGCTCATCTATGTAGCTGCGCTGCAGTGAATAGTTGACGTTCTGAAAGCAGAAAATAGTTATTCTATATACATATCTATTTGCATAGATTTACTTACCGCTTGAAGCGGACAACGTGGTCGAACATTAATAAAGTTGACGTATCTGTTGTAAAACTGTTGCACAAATTTACTTTTATAGTCGTTATTGAAAAAGGAGCACAGATCCATTTTCGTAGCAAAGAGGCGCACTCGCGGCAAACTTGGGCGCGAAATATCCATCGAAGCGAGCATCGAAATCTCATTGATGGGCTTAGCCACGATCAAATGCCCGGAGAGATAGCTACGATTTCCATCCTGCTCAATGCTGGCGCTCTGCGATACGATCAATTCCCGATCCCCGACCTCAAAATTAAACTGATCCACTCGAACCAGATATTCAGCCAGTGCACTGCTGAGCAAAAAGATGATCACGAGGCAGCACCAGATCCGCAGCAGTTCCATTTTGTCCATGTTTAATAGTTCTAGTGCTGCTAAAAATGGTTTTCTGACACAAATTTGTCTACAGCACGTCATTAGGCCGTGCCAGCTAATTGCTTTTTAATTGATGTACAATTATAATTAATGTAACTAAATTTATATACCAGTAGAGACGTATTTCAACATTTTCGGCGAATTCACTTCCTTGAGCGAAATATGAGTGAATGTTTTCCATTAAAGTCGGTGAATTTGTCTAAAACAGTGTGTGGATATTTAATTCATAAGCATTTTTTTCCACTCACTGTATTTGTATGTTACTTTCATCTTTTGTTTTTGGTTTGAAACACTCTAATTTCCATTTAACAATCACTTGAACCACTGTGCGGGCCTTTGAAGCGACTTAAAACATGCGCGGTAAATGAAAATGCCACGCATATGAAAGATTGAGTTGAGAAGGCGGCTAAGTACATATGAAAAGTGTAAAAAAAAAAAAAAAATGCACACCCTCTAAAAAAAAGGAGAAAAACAGAAAGAAAAAAAACTGAACGCAAAGGATGTCAACAGAAATGTTAATAACACCAGCGTCAGCAATGTTTTTGTTCATGTTGTTGTTGTTGTTGTTGTCGCTTTATGTACGGTCTCTATTTTACGCCAAGTGGTGCAGTGCGTCCTCTAGCACGTAACCCGTAACCCGCAACACCAGGCACCCAGGGATAAGTCCCGGCCGTGCTTTATGGCTGAGCCAAGTGAAGCAAAAAACACTTTCCCGTGAAACAGAAAAGCAAGGCAACAGAAACAGCATCAGCATCAGCAAAGTAAAGCAAAGTAAAGCCGAGTTGAGTGTAGTTCAAACATCACACCTAGCATAGACGACAGACTACAGGGTAGAGTCCAGGGTCTGGCATCTGAAGAGCTGCGGGCAACTGCGACTGGAACAGCTACTGCGGTTCGTATTATGTAAACATTTGCAGGATTCCTTTTTATTTTGTTGTGTCTGAAAAATGGGATTGAACTGGCTGTGATATGAGATATATAGCTGAAATACTTGTGGATAGCCAGACGCAATGGCGAAGAGTCTTTCAATTGCGATTGTCAAGCGAATTTTCATGAAAAGTGAAAAACGAACTAAAATTTATAAATGAAGAAAGAAAAGTGCTGTTAAGTGCAGACTAATAAAAGCTGTACAATAGAAAATCTGATCTTCTTAATTTAATACCCTGTAAGCCATGTCAAGTGGCTGCAAAAAAGGAGTTTTGAATGCAGATTGGGTTTTGCCTTTTTAAATATATTTTGAGAGAATGGCTCAAAAATCGTATTAAACAATTAAGCTTATTTATTTGATTAGCCTTATTTACTGCTTGAATTTCGGCTATTGGGTCGAAAGAATGTTTATTTAAAAGTTAATAATAAATATTTGTAGCTTTTTTGAACTGGCAAAGTTTTTAATTAAAAATTCTGTGGCATACTGAATATTTGTTTATTAAGATTCACGACTAGCCCAAAATCTAATTTCATGGCGTGAAAACCATAAAACAAATAATAGCAGATGCCATAACTAATCCAACGATTCAGTAACTCAGAGCATTGGCCAGGGGGGCGCTGAGACAGGGGGGTGGGGGCTACGAACACGTTAAAGCAGCGCAGTGTAAACAAATATTTTGACAAATTTATGATGATGGAATTTTAAGTGATTTTTAACGAGCGAGGGTGGGATAAAAGGCATTATATACGAAATATCTCGTATACTATACATATAGATATATAAATATATAAATATATATATAGTTACATATCCAGCTGTAGAGTTGAGTAGCATTTTCCACAACATCTGCAATTGTTGTCGCTTGTCGTCTAATAAAAGTCAAATTGCTTGCTTAAATAAACAGGACGCTGCACAGTGGAACTCGCCCCGAGGACAAGGATTCAAGATTTAAGTTGAATTCTTATCAAAACCGAGGTTCATGTAACTAATTCCCTGAGTGCTAAGATTAATCGAATATTAACATACACTTTAGATTGCCACCGGCATTTCAAGGATGTCGAAAAAAGCTTGATATACATTTTATTATAAACCAGGGCTTATTTACTTAAACGAACACAAAATAACGTTAGCAACATGACAGAAATGGTTTTTGTGCGCAGTCTTTTTATACACTTGCACCACTGTGCGCTGCCCACAAAGGGTTGCAGGCAGGTGCAGCCGCTGCTGTGGACAGGGAAGGGGCGGCAGGGTTAAAAGGTAGCCACAGCGCCCATTCCGCAGAGCGCCAAACATTTATGAATTTACGTTGACTGCACTCACACAGACCGACACGCACACGTACACAGTCGCCAAAGTTAACAAAAGGCCCATTAAGCCCGCTGCTGCCAAATTGCTGTGTCTGCAGCGTCGCCTTATCGCCTCCCCACCACCATGCACCACCCGGCTCCACCATGCCCCGCCAGGCCCCAACAAGAGCCAACGCCAAGCGCCACCTGTGCGTCCAACTGTGAAATTTATTGATTCGAGCAAATAGGCTCCATCGAGAACGTCGACTAACTAGCTATAATTAGAGAGCTCTCAGTCGCTATATACCATATACAAAAGCGACTAAGATCTGGACTGCTCGACTAATGCATACCCTATCATCACAGAGATAACGTCTGAATGTAGATAACAAAGCGCTACTCACCTGACAATAACTGGCATCGAATTAAATACAGTTATATGCTCATATATATTTTTAAAAACTAAAATTTCAGATTTTGGCCTCAATATAAGGTCGAAATATAAAATATTACATATAAACTTGAACTGTGTATGATTATTGCACAATTACCCTCTGAATATCTCTGAAGCTCTTGTTTATTAAGAATATATTAAATTAAATACTTCTAGAAAACTCTTTGAAAATTATCCCAAATTGATTTTCCTACAAACATATCTCTCAGTTTTGTAGCTAGCTTGATGTATAGCCTCATTTTACTGGTCGCTGTATATACTCTTTCTGTCAGACCTGGCCGGTTTGTGCCGTCATGGCATATGTGCATATAAATAAATAGGTATAGGTGTTTTTTTATATGTACATATTTCTAAATCCCACCTAACCGAACGCCCACAGCAAAGGTGGCTTCTTGCATGCGCGTGATTGACATGCACATTTTCATTGAATTATTAATTACGTAATGCGAAACCAATCGTCTGTAATTTGCATATGCAATGAGCCACCCACGCGATGCAAATGTTAAGGCTAATTATCAACCCACATTCGACAACATATAGTCCACTTCTTGGGTTCAAACCGGCGTCCGACCATTAATGCAAATTGTTCAGATTTGCATTAGAAATTCGCAATGCTTCCACGGTGGGGAGAGTTCCAGATGTATGCGCTTTTCCAGGGGGGGAATAAAGAAAATGGGCAGCTGAATTATTGATAGCAGGTAACTTTAATGACAAAAGTCCACACCAAAATGTTCCCTCAAGTGTGGAATATTGTGGAAAATGGTAGATTAAAATTGTATTGAACGGATTACGGTTTCAACGACTCGCAATTATTTTTAAATATTTTTGTAAAATATTATAGGAGACGGGTTGCGGAATATCAAAAAGGGATTCAAGGAGGCTAAAGTATAATTTCAGAGATTCAATTCAAAAACAGGGTTAAATCGAAAACATTGACTGTGAAGTTTTTTTAAAATGCTTTGCCCGATTACAACCAGAAATTGAATGCTTCAAGTATATTTAAACAAATTTAACGTTTTTTCGGTTTAATAATATTCCGTAGTGTACTTAATATGTTTAAATCCAAATCCATAAATATATTTATGGCGAGGCTTTTCGTCTTTTAGCCACTAAAAATGTACTGCCAAATTTCTTGTGGCAAGCTTTGGTTTATTACTTTGGCTGATGCTTGCCTTTTGGTCCGCCAAATGTTTTAGGTTAACAGCAGGAGGCAACTGGCAGCAACTACGCCCTACTCCCCCCGCCCCCCCCCCCTACCATCGCCCGCTCTGCTTCTACCCAACACTTACCCACAAGGTCTTGAGACATGGCTCCATGGTGACTTCAAAATAAAAGATTTTATTTTAGTTTGGTTTTTTTTTCTTTTTTTTTTTGCTGGCTACAAAACGCAGCCAAAACTTGCTGCAACAGCAATAAAAAACAAAAAAATAAAAATGTTTTATATATAAAGGGGAAATAAAAAAAACGACGCCCCAGGCAAAAAGCAATAACAAAATATTATTATCAGAATCATTCATCATGTGGCTGCAGGCCATAAATTTTTCGGCTAGCTGCGAAATGCAACAACAACTAAAATAACAACGGCAGCTAACTGTTAATAAATCGCAGCTGCAGATAGCAGCGAGCAGCTGCCGGCGCCACAGACAGCCACGTTTAAGCCCCTTCCGAACTACCGAATTTCCCAAACCCATCCCCCCCCCCCCCCCTCCCCCTACACCCATGCCCAATGCCAGCCCATTACGATTCCCTTTCCCATTTTCATTCCCCTTCCGCACAGCCGCCGCTTGAACTTCCTACAAAAGTTTGCTTTACTGAGTAGTAACTTTTCTAGGGGCGTGGCACAAGCCCTAGCACCGCCCAAAGAATACCCAGTTAAGTGCCAAGCATTTCTTCGACTGATTTTATCTAGGCTTGGGCCCACAATTTAAGAATCGAAATGTAAAAATGACCCGATCTTTAAGGAAGTAACATGCCGGATTTATCAAGTTCTTAACTTTATTTCCTGAACATTTAGGCGGCAACAGTTCTTTAACTAAACAAAACGCAACAATAACCATTTTGCTTAATAACTGTTGATATCAATATAGAAATATAAGCGCAGATAGTAATGCAATTTGCTTAAAAACCATTCCCAAAACGTAAAAGTCTGGGTGGGTCCATAAAAGGAATGACCAAAGATCGCAAACATCAGGGCAAAGAAACTGAGACACATAAGAAGCATTCCTATGACACGGCATGGATTTTGTCTGATGTTGGGCTGTGCCATTTGTGTGGGTCTGCATATAGTGGAAACTTCCGGATCCCTTCTAAGTTGCTGACGTAAATGGAAAAGATCGTTATATATGATCCTGTTGCTCTGCAGCATAATCCATAGCAATTCCCATCGTGTGGGAAGTTTGGTCAAATCGCATTCAAAGCGACGTCCTCTGAGCGGTTCCGCAGTGTAGGTCACAAACTGGATTAGCGGCTGTTGGAACTCCACATGGATCCGTTGAAGCGGCATCACTTTCATTATCTTAATATCGATAAGGTTATCGATACATTGCCGCAGCTCTTGATGTAGCTCAGAGTCAACTTCAGGCATTACCAATTGATCAATTGGAGTTTCTGGGATCTGTTTGATGAGATAAACAGAACCATCTTTAAGATCTTAAAATTTTAAGATATTTTAGAATTTATTTTTGGGGAAGAAACCCAATCGAAATTCTGTCTTTCCCCAAGATCTTTAATTACCTGACGGAAAGTTTGCTTTAAACATTTTGAGTCCTTTTTTAGTGCGGTCTTCGACTTATATTGTTTTTTTAAGTCATAAACCCTTGCCGCCAGCTTCCTTCCACGTTTAGCAGCTTGTGTTTCGTAGACAAGGCGTTTTAGCGGCCGTTTCTTTTGCTTTGTGGACTTGACGTTAAAATTCTGGTTCACTCGTAAATTCTCTTTCATATTTCCTAATAATTTAATACTGCGCCGCTTGCGCTCTTGAAGTATCAGTGTTATGGAGGACTTCCTGGCCGGAAGACTTGGCTTTAGTTTCGGATGCAGCAACCGATGCAGCTCGACTCCCGATTGCGCCGTAATAAATTTTATCTAAGAACAGTTGTCAGTTAGACTTTCATTTGCATATAACTTTGCGTATTTACCTTTCCCATTGCGTAGTTTTAATAGAATTTTAAAATATATATGAAAAATATAAATACTGATTTATGCTTCAATATGCTACATGCTTTTAACCCAGAGTAAATGTTGAGAGCCTGTATCTTAAAATTAATTTAGACAAAGTTTGCTTAGGTAATGTGTTTTACGATATCTACTTTAAAAGTTTTGCTTATATATGGGTGTAAAAATGTATAAAAATTTACATATCAATTTACAATCTCCAAGATATATGTAGTACTACGAGACTTAAAACGTGTAAATAATTTTTAAAAAAAATTCTCTAAGAAACGAAATTCAAATGGCTAAAAAAATAATTCAAATAGGAAAAATGGCAATTCTTATAATAATATTTAAAGTTTGCAAGCAATTTGCCAAGTGATATGTATCTATAATTAACATATAAAAGCTTACATACTGTATATCGCATAACTTGCATTGATTAATTATCTTTAGTTGTTAACTTTTTTCTTTCTTTATTTAATTTTTTTAATTCAAGTCTATGCATTCATCATATCTGTCAAATGAAAAATCCCACTTGAAGTTGAGTGTATTTCGCATTTCCTTTTCGTATTACTCTCTCCCTCGGCCCACCTCTATATCATTATGCATCATTCATCTTCATCCGTTCACATTGTCATTTGCCTTACTCTATTTGTATCTGTCTGTCTCTCTCTCTCTCTCTTTGTCTCTCACTCTCGTTTTTTCTCTTTATCTTTTCTCATTGCTTGTTTAATAAATAATTGTCCATCGTTTAATGCGTTTAGTACATAAATATGCACAACTTACGACCATATTGCATGAGCGCTTACCATGTCATACCCCATATCCTCCAAGTTCCCCCTTTGACTCAAGCACGAAACATGCACATCGGATGTACTGGCCTACACTGAGAAAAATAAGCTGGTATTTGGCGCACAAATAAAGTAGAAATCTGGTCTTGGCTTGATCAAGCTTGAAATACTTAAACCTATCTGAGGCATAATTCCTAAAATTATGCCAAAATAATTCCAGAATTATAATTTTCTTTAAATTTCCTTTAAAATTGAAAAAAGAAAAGTATACGAATCATGTTAAAAATCGGTAATCCGAAGTTAAGCATGCGCCTTGAACCTAGCACCTCGAACCTTGAGCATGATATTTATCTAGTCAAGTATAAGAACTTAGCACTGCATATTTTCTCTGAGTGTGCGCATATGTATTTGCCTGCCAGGTGACCACATGCTGTTCTCGGTGCACCCCGCCCCGCCCTGCTCTGGCCACGTGTCCGTCCGTCTCTAACGGCGCATTTGCAACCGCATTGCCAAGCTGTGGCTCTGGCTCTGGCTCTGGCTGCCTGCTGCTCTGCCTGGTTGACCACATCATCAAATGCGAAATGCAAAAGCGACGTAATTGCCACCGCGCCGCCCCGCCCCGCCCCGCCACCACTGTGGAGTGGAGCCGAAACCAATAAACCTGCATACGTCGATTAGTTGCACATGAATGCAATAACATGGCCCCAAAAGGTGGTTACGTAGGGGGCAGGGGGCAGGGGGCAGGTGTGGAGCGGTTCAGGGCAATGCACAGACAGCCGCAGACGAGCCCATTTAAGCCACGTCTTAAGAAGCTTTTGTCTAGGCCATTTTTAGCTAGGCATTCGCATTCGTTGCGGTTCGCTTTGGCTTCAATTTAATTGGCTGACAGTTGGCTTATATCTAAAACTATTTAAGAAATGTACAACTATTTGAGGGGCTATTTAAAATATCGGTCTCCTGACATTTTCATTCGAATTGGATTTAACTTTAACTCTTTCAATGCTAGAGCCTGGGTTAAACTAATATTTCAAAGTATCAGAAAAACTATTTAAACTAAAGGAAAATCAATTGCTAAATTTGCTAAAATATCACTAATAGTCAGTAAAATGTACAATATTTAATTTCTTCTTAAAATTGCAGACATATAAATTTCTTATAGTTCTGAGTCAAACAAATATTATTACGCTAAGTTTTTGAACTCCCTTCGCTTTGTAGCGTGTGTGTTTTATTTTTTTTTTTGTATAAAAACATGTTATTTTTTTTCTTTAGCAATAACGATAAACGATTTTATTGATACCGTTTATATTCATATATTCAAATTAATTTAGTTTTTATTGTTAATTAACGCATATAAAACGACTATCGTCTTTCAAGATAATGTCAAACTAAGCTCTCTGATAGTTATTGATCACGCTATAAAAACAATTGATAATATGTCTTAAAAGCTCTATTTATAAATCTCTAATGTGTAAATAACATTTAAATAGATTTGAGTCGAGATGATGATTCGGAATATAATCTGTTTATATGTGAATAACATGGACATAAATATGGAATTAATAATAATGTTAATAATATTTGTAACAGAATACATAGAAGAGTAACAAATATTTACTATTAATTATAGTATAAATTTATAAAACAGTAAAAGCAAATAACAAATTTAAAGATATAAATAGATATCTACAAAAATATAATATAACAAATTTTTAAAAACAGTAAAAATTTGTGAAATAATAAATACAAATTAAATTATTAATAATTATATTGATAAAAAAAACGTAAAAAATATATAAACAAATTTTAATTTTGTGGATAACAAAATTCACAAAAACTCACCATATGCCTTATTCAAAATGATTCAATTGGCTTTTTAAATACAAATAATAATAATAAAAGTAAAGTAAAATAATATTCAAAATATTATAATTTAAAAATAAAGAATCAATTTATGTTATGTATGTATGTATATCTAGTCTGTATACAATGAAATTCTGCCCATGGTACATCATTTGGCTTAGGGCTTGACCTGAGCTTAGTGTACAGTGTCCAGGAAATTGGCCAAATAGCCAAAACGACATATCCATATGTACATATATATGTACATATGTGCATACATATGTTTTTGCATGTGTGCCTGTGCATGTCGCCTGGCCACCTGACGCCGCTTGGCTGACCGCTGGCTGTGGATCTGCGAGGGTTTTCTGAGTCAGAGACCGCAACGGAACGTCGCCTGGCAACAGATTTCAAATATTTGCGTAAGCCAAGCGGCGCTTGAACCTCTCTTTAGACACAAACCACTCCCCTCGCCACTGCGCGAGAGCGTCACCAAATGTTTGGCTCATTTGCCAGTTTGTCGTAGATGTTGAAGCCGCCTTCACCGCATTCCACGGACCGGCGGCCATGAATTTTGCATTTTCTGTGTGTACGCAAGTATTTTTAGCTGTGTTTGGCCAGGCCTGTGATTCATCAAAAAGAGCGGCGACAGCTGACAGGGCCCCGACGGAGCTAACAGAAACCGCAACGCATGGAAATGAGATTAACAAAACTAGAAAACACACAAGACGAGACAAAGGCAATAGAACAGCAAACCCAGCGTGCGCCCCCCCGGCAAGCCGCGCTTCCATGCGTCAGGGGAAACACCTGAGGCGCTCGGCGAATTGCCGATGCTCATTAACTTTAAACCGAAGCAGTTGACAAAGAATACACACGAGAATGGAAGGTGGGAGGCAGAGAAAGCAAACCGACGTTTAAATGCTCTGCCTGAAATTTAAGTTCTCTTTATTTAAGCAGAAATACAAATGCACGCATACATATGCACACATGCATTAACCTATGTATGTATTTTGCACTCAATGAGCTCTCTCTCTCTCTCTCTCTCTCTCTTCCACAATTGAGTTTGATCCCGTTACCCAGAAAAAGAGCTTACGTGCTATAATGCAGGCAGATGCTGACGCTACGTATGTAAATGTAAAGCACACGTAAATAGGGAGAGCGCGCGAAAAAGAGAGGGCAAACAGTATTTACTGTACTTTTCGGGCAAACATGCACATCTATCAATACATACATATATATACTATTGCATGTGTGTGCTTTAGTGCCATTAACAACACCGTGTTCTATAGCCAAACATCATTTTAATATGTGTACAAATTAATTGAAAATTTGCGTGCGTGTTCAAAGCATAATACCAAAAACAAGAAAAAAAGTTTATTTTTACAAGGCAAACTTGAAATACTCTTTATAAAAGCATTGAAATAATATAAAAATAAAATAAAATATAAAAAATTACTTCAAAATATAAAACAAGCAAAAGCATAATTAAATGCAAATTAGATGTTAACTAACATCTAACATATTTCTAATATTTTATTATTCATATGCATCATATATTTTTAAAGGGTGTTCAAAGAAATAGCACACATTCGTCTAGTTCGACCTTCAATTCAATGCACATACACACGTCGTTATCAATACATCTCGAACTTTGTATACGCTTTCTCAAGGCTCTGCTCGTATAGTACAGACAAAGTGTGACTCATATGGGAGAATATATTAAAAAAAAACTTAGTAACACCTTATCTTTAAAAACAAATAAATATATAATCAGATTTTAGTAATTACCTTACAAGCAATATGGGTAAAAAACAATTGTTGCAATATCGTGTTGCTCGACTTCAAAAAACAGTTGTTCCTTTAAATTAATATAAGACAAATGACAGTGTGACAATTAAATTAAACAATAACTCTTTATGAAGTTGTAAAAAACAGATGTTTTTTTTACTGCTTTCAACTCTAGCACACAACATTGTAAATGCATTCATAATGGAAAAATACCCTTTAAAAAGCTTTACTTCTCATGTACATACATGTACATATGTGTGAACGAGACAGTAATTGTTGTCGTATTACTGTGAATAGATGTCAGCAAAATGGCATACAAAATACCCAGAAATGATGTTAAACAGCTGTTTGCAATACATATACATACATACATACATATGTGCAACTCATGCAAAAAAAATAGAAAGTACATTATTTAAATATATTTCGGTAATTTGTAGAACATTTTCGGCATTTTCAACAGCAACAATTTCAACAGCAAAATGTTCAATTATTCGCTTACTCTGAGACTATACGTTATATGTATGTATGTACATACATAAATACGTATGTACATAGTACTTTTTGTGATACAATCCCATTTAATTGCTCTAATAAAAAAGTTGGCTTAGCAACAGACGCTCAATGCGACGTATGGGTAAAATTGTCGGCAGATCGCTTAATTCAGCATGTCATGCGGAACAAATACATACAATGTATGTCATACATACATATGTAAATACATACATACGTACAGAAGTATCAATGTATTTTGGCTTTCTGCCGTTGTGCACGCCTTGCCAAAATTATGACAAAATTATGAGACCCTTTCTAAGAAAGAACATAAAAACAAAAGCCAAAGCAATAGCAATACATACTATGTACATATGTATCTATATATGTATGTACATTAGTTTGTGTGATATAAGGCCGAACGTCAGGCCTGACACAGTCACGCCCACAACACCGACCCCTCCGTACACATTGTCGCATTTTCGTTTGAAGATGACGCGCAGCGGTCGTTGTGCTGCCAGACGTTCTGGCTCGCCCGAGCGGTCTGTTTGCGGGTGGTGGAGGTGGAGGAGAAGCGGGGGACGCGCGCGAAGCGATAACAATTAAGGTGCGGGGCGACATTGAATAAGGCAGCGACGAAGCAACGAAGCAGGAGCCGAGAGAAGAGAGAATTTGAATCGCAGCTGGGTGATAACGTCGTCATCGTTGCCAGAGTTACGCAGGCCAATTTTAATTTATGCACAGCACACGTACACACACACACACACACACACAAACACACACAAACACACACATATTCGCAAACAAGCACAACTCTTTCGCTTGCCTGCTCGCTCTTTCATTTCACATCAACATCTTTTTTATTCGCTTTTCGTTTTGCACATTTCGACATTGTTGTTTTTGTTATTTATTTGCACGCTCACTTATGTAAACTATTCTCTCAATTTTTGCTCTCAATGCCTCGTTACAGCAGCAGGAACGACAACGACAACGACGACAGAGCGTCTGGGAGCGTGGTGGGCGATCTGCACTTTGGCTACGTTACGCTCAGCATTAGTAAGCTTTCGACAGTTGACAACGCGAGACGCTTAGAGCGCACGGTAGTTAATAACCGACGGCAACGCGTCGCTGCTGTCGGCGCAGTCGGCGTAAACGCGAGAAAAAATAATAAAACGCATCGAAACAAAAGAAGCAAAAATGCAACGCACCAACATCGAGTTAGAGCGTCAACGTCATCTAGCCAATTGGCTGGTGAAGAGCAGTCCGCACATGGCAGCTGCTGCAGCAGCGGGCGCAGCGCCACCCACGGCAGGAGTTGGAACTGGAGCTGCAGTGGTGGGCGCAGCTGTAGTCGGAGGTGTGGCAGCTGCAGTGCATGGCGCGCCCGGCAACAGCGCTGCTGCCGCTTGTAACGGTAAGTGAAGCAACAGGGGAGGTTTTTTTTTCGGTGTGGGCATTCAAAAGATTTACACGCACACAGGCGTGCACATAACGCAGTGTGTGTATGTATGCGCATACGATTGGAATGAATGCAAGGCAAGGCACGCGCTACTAACAAAAGTGCAAGAGAGATGTACATACATGAGAGAGAGAGAGAGAGAGAGAGAGGGTGAGTGAGTGAGCGCGTGAATGAGAGCAAGCGCAAGAGAGTTTACGTTTTCGTAGATTTGTTTGATTACGCCTTGCTGCTCATTGTTGTTGCTTTTGCTGCTGCTTGCATTTGTTGTCGTCTGCCCCCCTTTCGTTATTGCCTGAATAGCGCGCGCGTCGCTCGCTCCGCGTAATTTCACAAAACGTGACGACAACGCAACGCGCGCTGCGTCCAACGCCTCTCGCCCACTCGCCTGACGAGCACTTGGCACAGTTGTTGCTGAAGTTGTTGTTTTTTGTTGCTGTTGTTGCAATTGATATTTCACAAAAGATAAGCGCAATTGCAAAACGTTTAGTATTTTTTATGCTTCTGCTTCTTCCTCTTTCACTGTTACATATATTGTACAATAATTTCGCTGTGATTTTACGTTGCCTGCACTCTACAATCAGCTGCATGTGTGTGTGAGTATGTGATTTGTATGTATTTATTAAGTATACAAAAAAAATTAAGCTAAATGTGCGCAATTAAAGTGAGTAATAGCTCCACCGACCTATAAAGCAACAGCAACAACTGCGTATCGCCATCAGACAATGGACTTCAATCGAACAAAACGCAATCAAAATCAAGATATTTCACTTTTTATTGAGTTGCAGGTTTTTTGGATAATTAAATCATATATATATGCATGTGTGTATGTATGTATGTATGAATATGTATAAGTGTGTACACTCTATAAAAATATTTAAGTGATTAGATAGATAATTGCTGTCGCTTTTGGATAATAAACTAACAGTAAATTGATCATTCCAGTTAAGTACAAATTGCCATAAGAAGTATCACCTGCTAAGGTGTTTTCCAGCTTTGGCCTGGTCATAGTATTTCGACCCAGTCTTAAATTTTACATAGATCTTTGAAAATTAATTTGAAGCTGAGCAAAAGAAACCCGAAAACGTATTCGGGAACTACCTAAATAGGTAAAAATCGCCAGCATTAATTCCTTGAAAGTATTTTGCATCCAAAAATGGAAGTTTTCCATAAGTGTCAATTTAATCTAGGCACCCTTTTTACACTCTCGATTTTTTTGTTGGGTGAATGCTCCACTAAAAAAATCGAAATTAAAAAATTAATAATTAATAAGCAAAGTTTTTGCTATTAAGAAATGTATTAGCATATTACGTACGTTCACGCATTTCAGGTTTTGTAGAAAGTTCATTCACATCATGACAGCTTTGAATGGAGTCTCTTTTGTTTATAAATGCTATGCCATATGCAATAAAAATTCAAATTTGACGAATTTTAATTATGCTTTGAATTAGGTAGCCGAAATGGCAAAAACAATTCGTCGTTAAATTTGCAATTAAAATTGCATTGTTTACACACGAATATTAAGGACAAGCTTCTGCTATAATTATTGAATAAAAATGAGTTTGAGCTAAACTTTTATATTCTTTTCTCACTTTTTATTAGACTTGTGTACTATTATTGAAAAACATTACATGACATTTATTAAGCAAAGTCATTAATGACAATCATCAAAGCTTAAGTAGATATTATAAGAACTCAAATTTAAACTAGAATTATTACAGATTTTTTGTATTTTTTTTTAAATAAATCCTCAGCTGTCTCAACTGTCCGAAATTCGTTTGACGTTGTCGCCGTACTGTCAATTGGTTAAAAGAGAATACATATTAAATACTATTGCGAATGGCTCAAAATAGCTAAACACAGAGGCACAATGAGATTTGGCTTGACATTCAATTAACACCTGTCAAAATTTTGCTGGCATATTGCAATCCCTTTGACCACTGTGCAAACGCTTGGGCTAAAAACTTTTCAGCGCTTGGCAACAGTTTGAAATTTCTACAGTTTCGCGTTTACCGTGCAATTGCAGTGTGAGTGTGTGTATGTGTGTATGTGTGTGTGAATGTGTAAGTTTGTTGTGTGGGATTTTCCCCAATGCAGAGCGACGACAATAAGATATATATACACACCATGCATATGTATATATATGTATATATACATATATATAGACTATTAGCTCACTATTGCACTCGCCGTGTGTTTGCCTACCTGTGCCAGATACCCTTGCCGAGGGTATTCTAAATTAGTTACAAAATGAGGCATATATAAAATGTACATACACATTTATATTATCGGTCCGCACGAACATTGCACCTGTCTGTGAATTTCCATGCACTCAGCGCCACTATTTTATATTTCCGTTTATTGTCACAATATATCCAGAACGAACTCTTCAGGCTAGAAATCTTATTAATTATAATGAAAAGCCAATACAAAGGTCTGCGAGGGTATTTAATCTTTGCCAACTTGAAGAAAATAGTTCTTTTCTGTTTATTTTATATAATTTTTGTTGTTGTTTTGATTGCAGGTGCCCCACCTGGCGCACATCACGGCCACATGGCAGTAGCCACGGCTGCTGCCGCTGCCGCTGCTGCAGCTGAGGCGCGCAAACCGAAGCTGCGTCGCTTCAACTCCCACGATACCAGCTCGAACATGTTCTCCGTGGCGGACTTCGAGAATGCGCGTCTGGCGCGACGCAACGAGATTGAGCTGAAGCAGCGGCTGGCGCGACGGCAGCGCAACAGCGCCAACTGTAGCTACGGGCTGGCTGGCGGTTGCGCCAGCAGCAACGGCAACAACAACAACAATAACACCAACAACGCTGGCTACTCGGGCAGCAATAATGCGAGCTACAGCGGCTTCTGCGGCGGCCTCAATGGCAGCGGTGATTACTCAACGGGCGACAGCAAGAACTCCAAGTGCAGCAGCAGCAGCGAGGTGAGCAGAGCATTCAAATGGCGCCAAAGCTTTTTGATGAAATAAATGTTTCTTTAGCAGGAACCACTGCCCGCTGATGTTTTCCTCGAGCGGCATTCGCTGCCGCGAGTTGTGCGCATTTTGTACAGCAGCAAAAGCTCCAATGAGACGCTGCAGTCGAGTTCATCGCACGGCTCCTCCACGGCTGCCTCGAGCAGCTCCTCGACAGGCCCCAAGCAGCAGCAGCAGCTGGCAAATGAGTCAGGCAATGGCACGGGCACCGGCACGGGCACCAATTCGTCCTCTAGCGCTGGCAGCGGCAACCACAACAGCAGCAGCTGCGTTCAGCCTGGCCATGATGAGCTCTTCCTGCTCTACAGGCTCGTTCGACAGCGTCACATCTACCATGGACACAATGCTAAGTCGCAGGCATCGCAGCGCAAAAAAACGGTGCTCATACCCCAAGAGTTTCCAGGTGAGTCAGGGACAGAACTCTCCGAGATCTTGCACGCTTCGTGAGTAACGCAAGGAGCTGATTTCGTGTGCTATGTTCATGACTAGATTATATAGTATCGATGATTCATGCGCTGATTCAGACAGTGTGACAAATTTGTGGAACTAAATGTATTCAATAGAGTAGACAACCAAGCAGGGGAAGTGTTTGGAATTTTTACTGTCAAAACCAGTCAGAAATATCTTAAAAGCTAAAATATGCAAACATATGCATTTTGTAGATAAAATAAACAAATTATTGTCAAGAGTATATATATTCATTTATATATAGTCATATAGAAAGGTATTGGATGAGTCAAAAGACGATTTGATATAACCGAGTCGTATACTAAAATTGTAAAATGCTGTAAAACTTTACAGCCCAATCTAAAACTATTATTCCAAAAGATTTCACACAGATGCAAATTTTAACAAATTATTAATTCTTGAAAAAAAAGAAGATATTTCACTTTATTGCGGTTTTTCTTTCTCTATATAAATTATTTTCTAAGCACCTTGTCTAAAAAATGTGTATAAACTGTTTAGTAGAGTAATTAGGTAATTTTTAAAGTATTTACGTAATTTAAATGCCTAACTTGTTGCATTCTCATGACTAATGCATGACATGGCTGGAAACAGTTGGCTAATTTTGGTATTTACTGAGCTATTCAGGCATTATAGCGGGCCACAATAGAAGCAATAACTAGAGATACGACTCGAATTTAAGTTGCGTTACGTTTCGCTTTGGCTAATATGCGTGACAGACTGACAGTCGGACGGTCGGACGGACGGACGGACAGTGTGACAGACGCTGCCGGCAGTTGCAGTAGAATCGAATCACAACAATTGCTCATCGGGGTATTATGTAAGCAGCGACTGCGAGTGCCACTGCGACCCATTGTTGTGGGCTTCATGTGACTTTTCACAGCCAACGGAAAACCGACGCGAATGCAAAAACTATATTCGTAATCTTCCAATTGCGTAATACTCTGCTCCCCAGTGTAATAACAGCTGGAAGATCTACTGCTTAGTTAATCGGTTAGTGACACCAAAATTGTATATCTGTGTGGGGGAAAACACTTTCCAACTGAAGAATATAAAAATATAAACCTTACTTTAATAATATTTAATAACGTCATTGGACAATGTCATCGCTCTCATTAATAAATCTCTAAGTGCTTTCCATTTATATACAACTACATACAATTTTAAATGAATGCCTTCCTAAAATTAAGATTAATCGATTTTGAGCTTGGGTCTCGTATAAAAATATTTATTAGATCGAGAGTATTTGTAGCCCTCTTAAAATTGTATGAGACTTTACGAGGCATACTCTTATTTACATATTTGATAGAAATCTTTATGCTCTGAATATTTATTAAAACGATCGAACAATAAGCATAAACTTTATTTAAGAATGAAATTCTCATGCCTTTGATCTACATCGATAAAGTTTAGTCTATATGTAGAAGAAGCACTGGATACTCCCTAGTCAATCAAATATTATGCAACTGCTTGACTTTGCAACTAGCATTAATGTTTTCCCCATTTTCCAGGGTATTTTTCGCTGCTGAACGAGAAGGGCTTGCCAACGGCCACACAGTATGGAACGCTAATGCAGCTGGTTCGCGAGCGTGTCTACAAGTTTGCCTCGGTGGATAACATGCCGGCGTTTACCGAATCATCGCCAAGTGGAGCCAACAATAGTCCCAGCCACGAGGGCTGCCTGCCCAGCAGCAAACAGCGGCCGCAGTACATAAAGACGACGGCACGCGGCGGCCAAGTGTTTCGCCTGCTGGCCGTCTTCGAGGATGGCAAGCAGGAGCATGGCCAGGCGAGTCACACGAACAGTGTGTGCAAGTCGCATGTGGTGGCAAGTGGAGGCTACATGGGGCGCGACAAGGAAAAGGGACGCTATGCGCAGCTATTGAACGAGCAGCGTCAGGTCATGTATGTGCCGCTGGCGACCAAAGGCAAATTCTACGAGATTGAGCCGGGTATACCGCAGCTGCTGCAGAAACAGGGCGACATGCAGCGCAAACTGAATCCGGAGTGTGTGCATCGATTGGGCGCCTTGGTGGCAGCGGCCAAACAGCTACCGCTAATGCTGCGCTACATCTCAGGTCCCGCCGGTGCCGAAATACCCGAGCAGCTGTGCATCAGTCGGATGAGCAAGGAGGATGTCATAATTGGCTGTCCCATTGAGGAGCTGGATGGTAACGGGCCGCTGCCGCCGGTGCAACAGCAACATCAGCCGCTACAGCTGCGTAAGCTTTATATCAGCCGCGAGATGCAGCTGCTCAAGTGCTTGCTGGGCTTTGATTCCGAACAGCGCATGCTGGCCAATGCCCAGGTGCAGACCATGCTTAAGTTTTGTCAATTCAATTGCGATCAGTTTCTTAAACTTGTGGAGATTGAGCTCTTGCAGCGCAGCGAACGATCAGGCAGCAAAACGCGCGAGGGACTCAAAATTCTGAAGCCGTTGCATCTGCCCAAGCTGCTGCGGCGCGAGAAGAGCAGCATGACGGCAACGTCAACGGCGGCGCATGAGAAGGAGGACTCGATCATATTTCTAAGTAAGACCGATTTGGAGCAGCTTGAGGCTAAAGAGGCGGCAGCAGCGGCAGCGGCGTCATTAGCAACAGGCGAAGCCTCGAACCAGGTCGCACCCAATCGCATCACGGAGCGCATGAAGGTCTTTCAGTCCACCAAAAAGAAATGGTTTCGCAAGCAGCAGCAACAACAGGAGCAGCAGCTGGATAAATCCCAAACAGAACTGCAGCTGGATGTGCAGGCGAAGCGCATGAGCATGGAACGCTACACGGACATGTCCAAGCTGCTGCAGGAGCGCTTTGGCAATGACAACAATGAGCCCGCGGCGGCTACCACGGATACCCAATCGCTGCACAGCGAAACGGAGACGACCACGCTGAGTCACAGCATGGAGCGCAGTTCCATGCCCAAATCGCTGGACACATTGCTGCAAAAGTCCATGTCCCTGCAGGACATTGAGCTTCTGAATGGACAGCGACCACAGCAGCGACCAGATTTGCTTACTGCGCATACGGATGCCATCAGCGAAGCCGGCACCGAGCTGGAGGATGTTGAGAACCAAACGCCGCCGCCGCAATCCTTCATCACCGAGAAGCTCTACAATGAGTTCCATGTGAAAACGCGCCAGTATAGCAAATCCTCGAGTAGTTTGCATCAGTTGCGTCACTTTTCGCTGCCGCAGAAGCTGCAGCTCCACGAAACGGAGCCCGAGAAGCGCATTCAGACGCAGTTCAGAGCGCAACAGCAGCTCCAGCTAGGCAAGGAGTTTGGTGAGCCCATCACAGGACGACGCGCTGCTGGCGGCGTCTCTTTGCTGGGCGGCCTGGTCGCACTGTCTCCGGCAGCGCTTCTCTCACCCACATCGCTGGTGGAGGATGATTTGCCGTACTCCAGCGTGCGTGACTCCCTAGTCATGGCTAGTTTGGACAGCGGCGAGCACAGGGAACCGGCACCAATTACGCCTGCCGCCTTGGACTACGCCAAGGAGAATATCTATGCGGAAATTTGCGCCTCGCACACCTGTGACAGCTTCTCGGGCGCCACGCAGCTCACCCAGCTGCCTCCACACGACAATGGGGATGTCCTTGTAGATGATGAGGACGAAGATGATGGTGACTACGCCTCGCTCAAATATCAACCGAACGGACCGCAGTCTGTGAGCCGTGTCGAGATTAATTGCACCCCGGCCACCAGTGCCATCAGCTATCATACGGTCTACCTCGGCGAGGAGCCGCTAGGGGAGCGGCATGCGGCGGCTGCTCAGCATATAACCACCGTAGAGCTGGCCGGCGAGAATAACATATACAATACGCTCAAATGATGATTCTTGTGATTTCGGCGACGACGCTTAGCCGGCGCCCAGGGGCTATTCTGAATGTGAAAGGACAATGCGAATTCTAGAATATATTAAAACACATATATATTTTATTTAAAAAATATCTCGTAAAGCGAACAAAACTGTTGAAACAGATGAGAAACAATATTTATATGTATAGAAAAATCTCCGTAGAGCAGGCAACATGAAAAAGACCCATAGAAAATAGATGTAACAATACGTGAAATAAGTAACCAAAGCTAAAGAAAATTATTTATAGAAAACAAACTTAAGCACCATTTGGTATTCCCTTAAAAAATACCAAAAACAAATATTCAAAAAGTGTGTATAACAGAAACTTAAAACAAAATATTGGAAAGATTTTTTTTTCATGAGGAAAAATGTAAAATTTTTTCACAATTTTGTTTATATTAATCTTTTTTTTAAATAATGATTTTAGTTAATTATTTAATGCAGAAATTGAATGCACATGCAAAAGTTGTAACTAACTATTTCATTTGTCAGAATTTCTTTAAACAATTTTAAAGAAAAGTCAAAAATATTTCTGAATTCTTTGAAATAGTTTAAAAACTAAAAGAGCAATTCCACATATTTTCAAATGCTATACCAGCTCTTATTATTTATATACATATATGTATATATATTTTGGTACTTATTTCATTTCTTAGTTTCTTATGGGTTTTATATATCATGTAGCGCCTATATATAATTCAATAGACTGTAGCTGTAGCAATTGAAGGAGAGAAACTTATAAATTGAAGAAGTTTGTGTGGGCAAAGCATAAAATGCCTCAACTCAACTACATCGCCCCGCCCCACAGCAAACATTAAGAAAATTGAGAATAACAAATGACAACTCACATTGTAATACTATATTATAAAGAATTGAAGACAAGCAATTTGTATTGAAAAAGGCTAAAAAGCCCACGATACACACGCATAAAATGTCATTAAACTGAATATTGAAAATTTGCAATATTATACAATTGTATACATAACTAACATATATCATATATACTATATATACAACATATTTAATATAATATATATATATATATATATATTTATATATATAATTAGATGTTAGCTATATGAAATGTAGAAATCTTAGCGCAAACCTAAGGTATTATTAGTTTGTAGGCAATCAACAAGTCAAATCAAATCGTATGCGATATGCATATGTATTTATATATATATTTATATATATATATAAATCTATATACTAATATATAATAAAATACTAATAATGTAACATAGCTTGCAATTTTAGGACTTATCACAATTTTGGTCCACTTTTAAACGATCTCTCGTATTTGTCGTTCTGTTTAACATATATATAGATATATCTCCTTTTTTTTTGGATTTTGAATTGCTTAGCATTCAAAACGCAGGCGGAATGGCATGATCTAAACCTTATCTACTTAACAATTTTAATAATTGTATTTATGATTTGTCTGTGTGTCCGTTTATGTTTTATATCCTTTTTCATGTTTGATATCGCAAATCTCTTCCACTCACTCCTTCAGTCAGCACATGGAGCCATATTATCAACTAGTTGAGCAGTCTCAAATGTAATACATTCTAGTCCTCAGTTATATATGGATGGGATTGGTTCTATATTTATATACTTTAACATATCGATCATTTGTTTGAGGACATGCCAAACTGTATGCGCTTTCGGCCAGGCCGTAATTAATGTAAATTGATTTTCAATTCTCGCGTTTAAAAAATTATTTAGCAAAGAATTTATTAATTTTTATTTCGATTTCAACTTCGATGGCTATCGATTAATTTCATTTTTGATTTACTGTTTAAGATTTTGTCAACACACTTAATACAAACAAATCTTATGATCTACAAATGCAATTTGAATTTGTTTTTATTTTTCTGATTTTGAATATATATTAGTATATATTATTTCTAAATCTTATTATATTTTCAGTTTTTTTTTTTTATAATATCTGGTTTTCTATTTTGCACGGACAACTGCAGCTACAATCAAGTGAAAGCATTGTACTCTTAGATATATTCTCATAAATAGATTAACGAATGGAAAACCCTGTAAAAACTAAAGCAATACTCACAAAAAAGCTATGATACTAGTTGTAAAACCTATTGGATGATGATCAGCTAAATGCAAATTGGATGCGTTTAGAAAAACGAAAGAGAGAGAGAGAAATAGAAAGTTCTATAAGAATACAGATATAAATATAGTATTAAAATAATGTAATATGTGTGTGTGTAATCAAAGTACTTTGTACTTTGTGTAGCGTTTACCTTTGCATTTTATAGTTTTTGTTTGTTTTTTTTTTTTTTTTGTTTGTAGACATTAAGTCAGGCTTCACTGTAGCGCAAGGGTGATACGATGTGTAAAGAGTTGATAGAACATATTAAATTTGTATCTATATAAGCAACTACCCGCCAGCATATATAAATATATATATTATATATAAATTGGTGTGATAAATCAATGTCTAACAAACAGATAATGTAACGTAGTTAAGCAAACGCAGTTTTGAATTTGCTTTTAGAGCACAATATACATATATATATACATAATAGAGACATCTAATAACAAGAAAAAGAGATGAAAAAGTTGATGAAACAAACTTTGCTTTAATGTGAAAAATACAATACATATTAAATGTCATCAAAGATTATAAAGTTTAAGAATTTTTCAAAAAAGCAAACAAATTATAATACCCTCTGCAAGGGTATAAAAGTGAAGTCATAAACAGCAGCTAAGTAAAGCAATTTTCAGGGATTTTTAATGGAAAGGCACAAGAAATTTGTAAGGATAGTTTTGGTATATGCGAAAACTAGCGCCCTAAATGCCGCCCGTAGGCCTTTTGAAGCAGTTAAGATAATTATGAACAGAGTTGAGATGAAGTCAAGATCTAGCGCATTATGCAGAAGCAATACTACAGTTTTTCTATAAGTATAAACGACAACTATACGAAGATTTATAATCAAACACATACATACACACACATACAACTAAGTACTCTTGTTTTATTCGGTGTCTATGTTAATCACTAGAAATGACAATTAAACAATTTAGAATTCAACAAGTCAAATATTAGTAGAACTTTAAATGTCAAGCCCAAGAAAATACACAAATATTATATGCATACAAAAATTATATAAATATATATATGTATATATAGGTATATATAGACATACAATATATGTGTATATTTATATATATGTATATATAGGTATATATACACAGTTCAAGATATATTTGTATATCTATAAATTCGAAGCACTTCTGGAATGCTGTCTGAACCCATAATTTAGGTATTCACAATGTGTACACTTTTGAACTGATGAAGCGATGTCTGACTACGATCGTGATGCTAAGGATAATGATCTAATGGATGGATTATGATGTCACGTCCTGAGGCGTGGCAAGACTGAATTGAACTGAACACAAAAGAGAAAAAATCAACCAAAATGCAAATTAATTGAATTGTTTAATAATGGTAACACACAAAAAATTCTGACATTGATATTATTGTTGTAGTAGCCCTTTTTATAAGTAACGCATATATATATATATATACATGAAGATCAAGTCGAAATGACCCTTTTTAGCAGCTTGACTAAGCCCGTTTCAACTCTAAAACCGATGCCTCCAATCAACTCTAGCATTCAAAATTTTTATTCCACGTTATACCTATAGCTAATGAAAATGAAAACTCAACCTTTGGCAAGACAAAATATCAACAAACACAAATGTAAAACTTGAATATGATAATAAAATTGGATTTCTCTTGCTCTTTTATTGGGTCGGTTTTTTTTCATAAGGTACGCTCCGGTTAAGTGAGCTGGGCTAACAGAAGCAACACTCTAAATTTAAATATTTACATTAGAGATTTATTTACTTGAATTTGTTAGAAAGTATAACCCTTCATAATAAACATACATTATATTATTTGATTCTTATTATATATTATTATTTTCTTTCAGGAATCCACAATTTGCAAGTATGCAGAGTTGTCATATTGACTACTGGGGTCAAACTTACAGAGAGAGATGATGAATTGTAAGTGCCTAAAGCGGACGAAAAAACCGGCGCACAGCAACTAAACAAGCGATCAAAATTCGAGTGAGAGCCAAGTGTCACATTGACCAGCAAATACACCCACACAAACAACTGGGAGATAATAACCAAAGCTGGCACCTGTGTGTGTGTGCGCGTTATCTACGTATGCTCATGCACTCTTTACGTTTTTGTTGCTGATCGCTCATTGGTCCAATTAATCTTTGCTTGTGTAGAAATTCCTCTACTAGCCCTTTGGCTGCTCTTTTTTCGATTATTTAGTCGAAATGCATGTCCAAATCTTACCCCAAGATTCGTATATAGACATGGGTAAAAAATTACCACCCCCATATCTCGGCCAAATCTCATCCGATTTTCACGAAGTTTGGATTTTTCTTCATGGGTTTCCCTCTAGATTAATGTGGCATTCAAATCTCGACACCGATTTTTTAGTCGAAATTCATGTCCAAATGTTACCCCAAGATTCGTATATAGACATGGGTAAAAAATTACCACCCCCATATCTCGGCCAAATCTCATCCGATTTTCACGAAGTTTGGATTTTTCTTCATGGGTTTCCCTCTAGATTAATGTGGCATTCAAATCTCGACACCGATTTTTTAGTCGAAATTCATGTCCAAATGTTACCCCAAGATTCATATATAGACATGGGTCAAAAATTACCACCCCCATATCTCGGCCAAATCTCATCCGATTTTCACGAAGTTTGGATTTTTCTTCATGGGTTTCCCTCTAGATTAATGTGGCATTCAAATCTCGACACCGATTTTTTAGTCGAAATTCATGTCCAAATGTTACCCCAAGATTCATATATAGACATGGGTCAAAAATTACCACCCCCATATCTCGGCCAAATCTCATCCGATTTTCACGAAGTTTGGATTTTTCTTCATAGTTTTCCCTCTAGATTAATGTGGCATTCAAATCTCGACACCGATTTTTTAGTCAAAATTCATGTCCAAATGTTACCCCAAGATTCATATATAGACGTGGGTCAAAAATTACCACCCCCATATCTCGGCCAAATCTCATCCGATTTTCACGAAGTTTGGATTTTTCTTCATGGTTTTCCCTCTAGATGAATCTGGCATTCAAATCTCGACACCGATTTTTTAGTCGAAATTCATGTCCAAATCTTACCCCAAGATTCGTATATTGACATGGGTCAAAAATTACCACCCCTATATCTCGGCCAAATCTCATCCGATTTTCACGAAGTTTGGATTTTTCTTCATAGTTTTCCCTCTAGATTAATGTGGCATTCAAATCTCGACACCGAT